GCTAGGCAGTTAGGGTAAAAAGACCCCAAAGAAAAGTAGCCAGTTTCTTGGCTACAAGTCACAATGTGCTAGGGCCTTTTAGCAACATACTCCATTCCAAAGGCCAAAAATGTCTAAAGTATTTGGGAGCTTTTATCTAAACCTTAAAAGATTTTAGGGTTACCTCTTCAGAAGGGGTAATATTAGAGTAGCAAAAAGCCCCATTAAAAAAGAAGAAAGAGTATATGAAGTTATCAGAAAAAAGTGATAGGGAAATATAGGAGGAGTTGGAAGAGAAGGAATGGGCAAGGATTTTATCAAACCACCTATATACATGTATGAAATTCTCAATAAATTATTTTAAAAAACTAATACCACTTAGTTGAGTAGACTAAGTTATAATTTGAAATTAACATGGACTCACCAAGGGCAGAGCATAGGGACTGCTCACTTTGGAATGAATGTCTCCTTGTTATCTAGTATAATGTATTCTGTGGTGTGCTTAGGGGAAAGAATCAGAGAAAGTGCTCGAAGGCTAGGTAGTGGGAACTCTGTTATCTGCAGGTGGATGTTCAGAAATCTTTGGGCACTTAATCTTCAGGTACATGCTTTAAAAAACTTATGATAGGGCTGGAGAGATGGCTCGGTGGTTAAGAGCACTGACTGCTCTTGCAGAGGACCCGGGTTCAATTCCCAGTACCCACATGGTGGCTATGAACTGACTTAACTCCAGTTCCAGGGGAATCCGAAGCCCTCTTCTGACCTCTGCAGCATTGCACGACATGGGTGTACTCACATACATGCAGGCAATACACTCATACACATAAAATAAAAATAATATTTTAAAAAATTTATGGTGAAATGAAATTTCTTTCCCTCCTTTTTACTCCTAATTGTGCAATGAAGTTGATTGTGGTGTTTCCTGAGATCTCAAAAGGATAATTATACACATAGATGTAAATTTGAGAGTCTGAGATCTGCTCTGCTATTCATTGCCTGTGTAACTTAGAGAAAAGCTCTGCTTTCTAGTGGCTTATAAAAATAATTATGGGTGGGGTCTGGAGCAATGGCTCAGCAGTTAAGAGCACTGGCTGCTTTTGCAGAGGACCCAGGGTCTGTTCCCAGCACCCACATGGTGGCTAACAACCACCTGTAACTCCAGTTCCTGGGGTCTGACACTCTCTTCTGACCTTCGTGGGCACTGTATGACAAGGGTGCACTTACATGTGTGCAGACATGTTTATACACATAACATAAAAATAATAAAATATTTAAAAATTTTTAAAAATGAACTTAAGTATGTTCTAATTAATTACTGCCAACAAGCGATAACAGATTTTCTGTACTCCTTCTCCCCTTCTTGTGGGACAGAGACTCACTATATAGCCTAGGTTGGCTTTGAACTCTTGATCCTGCCTTATCTTCTAGAGTGCTGGGATTATGGGTGTGTGCCACTTTGAAAGATAGGAAAAGGGCAGTAAAATATTAACATGATAGTAGGGTGTGGTGATATACATCTATAATCTCAGCACTCAGAAGACTGAGGTAGGAAGATTGCTGTGAGTTTAAGGTTAGCCTTAGCTATATAGGGAGACTATGTCTCAACAAACACAAAATTAACATGGGACAGTGAGATGATTCAGTGGAGTAAAAGAGCTTGCTACCAAGCCTGATGACTTGAGTTTAATCCCTGGAACCCACATGGTGGAAAGAGAGAACCAACCCTCAAAGATTGTCCTTGGATATGTACCCATGTGTGTGTACGTGCATATGCACAAACACATAAATAAATGTAATAACAATTTATATGTAAAAAAAATTACCATGAGGGGGCTGGAGAGCTGGCTCAGTAGTTCACAGCATTTACTACTCTTGCAGAGGACCCGGGTTCAGTTCCCAGCACCTACATGGTGGCTCACAGTTGTCTATAACTCTGGTTCCAGGGGTTCTGATTCTCCCTTCTGACCCCTGTGAGCTTCTACACACACACAGTGCTTACAGAAGCACACAGATACATAAAAAATTAAAATAAATAAATCCTTAAAATTTTTAACATATAGGAGGTGGAGGTGGGTGGATCTCTGTGAGTTCAAGGCCAGCTTGGTGTATGTAGTGAGTTCCAGGCCAGCTGGGGATAGAGGGAGACCCTGTCTCAAAAGACCAAAAACTTTAAAATGAAGGCTGGAAGTATAGCTAAGTGGCAGAGCATTTACCTACATGCTTAAGGCCATGGGGTTTTATCTCAGCACCATAAACAAAACACAAGCAACCATGAATCACGAATTTCTTAAAAAATGCATCCAATGAGAATTGGGGCGGGGGAATCACTGAATTCCATTATTAGTTTACATGCAGTAGAACTTTTATACTCTCTGTTGAAAAGGAAAATATCTTCCTTTTATGGACCAGTGTCACTTGCACTTGGATCTAGATCTGAGCTTCACAATGAAAGAGTTAAAAAAATTTAAGCATCACAATTAATAATCAGCCCATCTTTTAAACACCATTAGCACCTAAGGGATTCTCTATTTTTCCTTTTAAAAGGACATATAGTCTACAGCAGCTTCTCTAAATGCTCAGAAGCTATTCTTTGTCAGTGGGCAGAGAGCCAAACTCCAACCCAAAGGCTGGGGAAGGAGCCAGGATGACCTCTGATCAGGACCAGGCAAATGGCAGCAGGGCAATGCAGGGGGAGCCTGCTCAGGGCAGGCCAAGAGAGAAAACTGAGCACTGTTTAAAGAAACCATCCCTTGGGGCTGAAGAGATGGTGCAGCGGTTAAGAGCACTGACTGCTCTTATAGAGAACCTGGGTTTGATTCCCAGCACCCATGTGGCAGCTACTAACTGTCCTTAACTCCAGTTCCAGGGGAACTGAAGCCCTCTTCTGATATCCACGGCACTGCACGACACGGGTGCACTCACATACATGCAGCCACTATACTCATACACATAAAATAAAAATAATAAAATATCAAAAAAAGCAGCCATCCCTTGTTCAGAAAAAAATGCAAAGCCTTGTGATGTTTGAAGTCCTTAGTCACAGTTTTGGGAACTAGATTATCTGATTTTACTGTGCAGGTTAAATATTCATCAGAATTTGAGAGATTCATTGGTTTTCTTAGATTCCACCAAGCCAGTCACACACCTTTTGCTCCAAGCATCTATCAAATGGGAGGCATATCATTAACCTGTTTATATCATGAAGCTATGAAAAAAGAAAAGGAAAAAAAAAAGAGACCAGAGCATCTAGTCATCCAATGGGAAAACAACATACAATGAAGGAAGCTGGGGCTAGCTACATAAGAGGAAGCAGCTAGCAACAAAAGTTAATGTAAAATGATGAAAGAATGATTATTTTATCCCTGAAATGTAATAGGTAGAAAAGTCCAACTCTCTATAACCCTAGCACTTCAGAAGCTGAGGTAGGAGAACTGTGAGTCTGAGTCCAATTTGGGCTACATAAATAGTCTCAAAAAACTGAGAAAGCGAGAGAGAGAGAGCGAGAGCGAGAGAGAGACAGAGAGAGAGAGAGAGAGAGAGAGAGAGAAACCTGTACCCCAAACATTAGTTAGTTGGGTGGTAGATAAGAAATGTATTTAAAGGCAAATATGGAGCAATTCAGTACCTATCAAAATTAGAGTTTACAGTTGGGGCCAGTGACACCTGCAATCTCAGCACTTAGGAGACTTGAGGTAGGAAGATTGTGAATTTGAGGGTTTAGGCCATCCTGGGCTACAATAGCATGACCTTGTATTAAAAGGAAACTAATTAATTAAAATTAATAGAACTTTTGACCTAAGAGTTACATTTGAAATGATGTGGCATAAGGAAATACTTGCATATATTCAAAAGAAGTATATATGAGACATATTCATTTGTGGGTACACATATGTGCATGTACATATAGATGTGGAGGCCAGAAGTTGGCATCAGTGTCTTCCTGTATTGATCTCCATTTTGTTTTTTGAGACAGCCTCAGACTGAACCTGGAGCTCAATGATTCAACAAGACTAGCTGGCAGCAAGTCCCAAGGATCCCTTGCCTCCACTTTGCCATCAGGCTTTTTCCATGGGTGCTAGGAATCTGAACTCAGGTCCTCATGCATGTAGAACAAACATTTTATTGATGGGGCTATCTCCCCAGTCCCAATTTATTTAATTTTAAGGAAAAAAAATCAAGTTACAGAATCATAATACAATCCAGTTCCATATTAAGAATTTTCAGGTGGGGCTAGAGAGATGGCTCAGTGGTTAAGAGCACTGGCTGCTCTTGCAGAGGACCTGGGTTCTATTCCCAGCGCCCACATGGTGGTTAACAACCGTCTATAATTCCAGTTCCAGGGGATCTAACACCCTTTTCTGACCTCCTCAGGTATTGCACAACATGGGTGCACTTACATATACATGCAAGCAATACACTCATACACATAAAATTAAATAATAAAAAGAATTTTCAGGTAATCTTTGTATTTATGTTTGAGTGTGTGTATATGTAAGTGCATCTATGTATGTACATGCATGGAAAGGCAATTTGTAGGGACAAAGCCCTGGCAACTAGCTATGACATGAGGAAGACCATAGGAAAGCATCTAAATTTGCACTGCAGCTGGGCATGGTGGTACACACCTTTAATCCCAGCACTCGGGAAGGCAGAGGCAGGCAGATCTCTGTAAGATGGAGGCCACCCTGGTCTACATAGTGAGTTCCAGGCTAGCTGGGGCTGCAGGAGGATCCTGTCTCAAAAAGACAAAAGAATAAAAAATTAAATTTGCATTGAAAATTTTATTGCTTGCACTTTTTGCAATCAGAAATCAGAAAAGAACATTTCAAAAAATTACTTTATTGATTATTCTTATTTTTTGTGTATGAGTGTATTGCCTGCATATAGGTAAGTGCACCCATGTCGTGCAGTGCCTGTGGAGGACAGAAAAGGCTGTTGGATCCACTGGAACTGGAGTTACAGATCATTGTTAGCTGCCCTATGGATGCTGGGAATCAAATGCAGATGCTCTGCAAGAGCAGCCAGTGCTCTTAACTGCTGAGCCATCTTTCTAGTCCAAGGGAAACATTTTTGAAAGGCAGAGGCATTCATGTGATCCCTTTTCTCTGTGTTAATTCCTAGGTCATAAGGGATGCAACTGCACTAACCCAAATGGGCAGACTAGAGCTCAGTTGCAGAGGTGGTGTGTTTCTGAGGTGTTTGTGAGAAACCAGGCCACAATTATGAATCAGCTATTTGCAGGGTCACAGGTAAGAATATTACAGGTACTGGGCATGGTGGTGCAGGCTTGTAATCTTAGCACTCAGGAAGTAGAGGAAGGAGGATCAGGTTCAAGGTCCTCATCAGCTACATTGTGAATTCAAGGTCAGCTTGGCTACATAAGAACCTGTCTCAGAAAAAAAACCCAAAATAAATATTAGAGGTGATGATTACCACAGAGAATCTTATGAGCCAGGTCTTAATAAAGAGAATAAATGGAGGCAGGAATTGCTTCCAGGGGCCCTTCACAGCATGTTATAGATCTTAATATGAAGTGGCCCTGGTCCTACTTCACCCTTGGTGTTCTGAGAAGCAGGCACAGGGAGTACGGCAACAGAAGGAGCTGGGCTACCTTGCATGAGGACCTCCATGGCTGTCCGCGGCTTGGACAGTTGCCTCTCCTCCAGCTCACTGTCAGACTCATCGTCCTCCTGGATGTCTATGTCTGAGTCATCATTACCTGGAAGGAACCCAAGAAGGCAGTTCACTATACCTAAACAGCAAGACTCCTGTGCAAAAGTTGTCTGCATTTCCTAGCCCTTCTTTCTTTTTTTCTTTTTCATATAAACAAGCTTAATGTTAATAACATGGAATACAAAGGATTAGAACCATTAATAAAATTTCTATTTCTTCAACCTTAAAAAAAATCATTAAAATAAGCTGGGTGTGGTGGCGCACGCCTTTAATCTGGTCTATGTAGTGAGTTCCAGGCCAGCTAGGGCTACAGGGAGACCCTGTGTCAAAAAGGCAATGCCATACATTTTTAAATATTTCACTCAATTTTGTATATTTGTTTCTTAAAGATGTGACTCAGAAGAAAGGCTTCTGATACCCATGATAAGAAAAAATGGGGTGAGAGTACCTTTGCTAAGAGCTGCTAATTCACTTTTAAAGTACCTTAGGTACTCTATTATATTTTCTTTTGGGTAATTTTAACAAATTAATAATTGTGTTTAACAGATGAGACAGGTGGTACATTATGTATATGCAACTATACAACATTTGGTAAAACATTTAAATTGTTCTACCTTGTTCCTTGTCATTTAAAAAAAAATTTTTTTTGATCTTTTTGAGATAAGGTCTTCCTGTAGCCCCAGCTGGCCTGGAACTTGCTATGTAGACCAGACTAGCCTTGAACTCACAGAGATCCAGCTGCCTCTGCCTCCTGAGTGCTGGGATAAAAGGTGTGTCCCACCACACCTGGAATACTTTGTCACATTTTATAAGTTAATTTTCATTTCTTCTACTTTAAAAGGCTGCCTAGGTTGTATGTACTAGGATCAACAAATATTTTAATGTGCAAATAGTCATAATGACTGTTTTCAATTTCATGTAATAAATGAGAAATGATACACTTAGGTGTGTTTAGGTGCTTCTCTGAAACAAAAATAATTTTGAGAATATGATAAACAGCCTATGCATATATTTTTTTAAATTTTTTTTTGTCTTTTTGAAGCAGGGTCTCCCTATAGCCCCAGCTGTCCTGGAACTCACTATGTAGACCAGGCTGGCCTTGAACTCACAGAGATCCACCTGCCTCTGCCTCCCAAGTCCTGGGACTACAGGCATGCGCCACCATGCCTGGCATATATTCTTTTTTTTTTTAAAAAAAAGTATTTTATTATTTTTATTTTACGTGTATGAGTGTATTGCCTGCATGTATGTGAGTGCACCCGTGTCGTGCAATGCTGCAGAGGTCAGAAGAGGGCTTTGGATTCCCCTGGCACTGGAGTTAAGGATGGTTCGTAGCCGCTATGTGGGTGCTGGGAATCGAACCTGGGTCCTCTGCAAGAGCAGTCAGTGTTCTTAACTGCTGAGCCACCTCTCCAGCTCCTAAATATTCTTTTTTAAAAAATGAGCAGCACAGAGAGCAGACTCTTCACTACCCATACTTTTGACCACCAAAAAATGAAGCCAAACTTTAGAAAAATGCAATGCAAGAAAAGATTCAAATTAAAAGTATATTCCTTTGGTTAAAAATCATCCCCCTTTATAACAGTCATTTGTTATCTAGACTCACAGTTGTCCCACCATCACAGAGTAATCTTCTAATATCATACTTACAGGATTGCAATTTTTTTTTCATCCTCTCCTAAAATATGAGACCGTTTATACCACTAGGGTCTAGAGTTTTCTCTTATAATTATATATCCCATATATTTCATACTAACTATAGCATATAAACAGATACAAATATTATTTTAATGGTCACAAAAAATGACTGTTCTTTAGATGCTGTGTAACTGAAATCAAGCTTTTGAATGAACTCAAATGATACCTAATATAAAAGCTGTAAGAAAATGGCCTTCTGAAAATATTCTTATAGCTGTAGTCAACAAAATGGATTTGTTATACATTAAAGTGTTTAAGAAAGTAGATCTCATCTAATTGTTCTTACAGTAAGAGAAATTCAAAGAAAAAAATTTTTTGTTGTTTTTGAAAAATGTTTTAAAGAAAACAAATATTTTTAAAAATATAACTAACTATGGGTTGGTGAGATCCCTCACTGGGTAAAGATGATTGCTGTCACACAAGCCTGATGGCCTGAGTTTGATCCCAGGGACTCATAAAGGTGGAAGGAGAGAGGTGACTCCACAAAGTTGTCCTCTGAGTTCCACATGTGCACTGTGGCTTGCCCACACCTACAGTCACACACACCCATCATACACATGTGACTGTACATACATACATTTGTGCACACACAAGCACAAATAAAAACCTTTTTAAAAATATGTAACTTTCTCGCCTAGGCCGGTCTCCCTCCTCCCTCCGGGGTCTGCCTGCCACGCCCACGCGGCTTTGGCTGTGGCGTAGTGGTCATTGTGTCCAGACAACAAAGGCGGCTAGAGGTTTCTGCGACTGCGGGTGCGGCTGTTTTAGCCCTGCACGAGCTCTGCAGCTGCCTGGAGGGTCCCCGCAGCGCCCACCTTTCTCCCCTCCAGGACCCCACGCCAGCAGCGACCCTGAGCCGACTGGCGGAGCGACCGGCAATGGCGGCCTCAATGGCCTCACACCGGCCCACCAAGGGAATCCTGAAGAACAAGAACTCTGCGACTTCCCCGATGATGGCCTCAGCAGAACAGCCCCGCTGGAACGTGGAAGAAGAGCTGAGTAAAAAATCCCAGAAGTGGGATGAAATGAACATTCTGGCAACATATCATCCTGCAGACAAGGACTATGGTTTAATGAAAATAAATGAACCAAACACTCCTTATCATAATATGATAGGTGATGATGAAGATGCCTATAGTGATTCGGAAGCCACTGAAACCATGACTCCAGATATCTTAGTTAAGAAATTAGCTGCTGCTGAAGGCTCCGAGCCAAAGTATTGAATTCAGGAACAAGAAAGCAGTGGAGAAGATAATGACCTCTCACCTGAAGAGCAGGAAAAGAAGCCACAATTTGAAATGAAAACGAAGCTTCACTACAACGAAGGACTGAATATTAAACTAGCTAGACAATTTCAAAAGATCTACATGATGATGAGGAAGATGAAGAAATGTTAGAGACTGCAGATGGAGATGGCATGAATATTGAAGAATCAAATCAAGGATCTACTACAACTGACCAACGGCAAAACAAATCAGAAAGTTCGTAAAAAGAAATTTGTTCAACACTGCAGTCATTTGTCAAATACAACTCTTGTTACTACAGACATTGCTTCTTGTGCTCTACAATTCATGACTTAAGTAAAAAATACACACTAATTATTCTATATTGCCAAGAATTAAATGATAACAATAGACTGATTAGACTAAAAATGCCTAATTAATGCATATATTCTTGTGCCTCATACTTCACCACTAATACAATGTAATGTCATTAGTCCAAAACTGCTTTACTTTTGTAAGAACACTGGTTAATTTGTATATTATATAGCTTTTTATGCTTTAGAGATTAATGTCTGGGGGGGATAATTTATTTTTGCCATTTCTAGATATAGGACCTCTTATAAAAGTTTGTTGAGGGAGGGTTGGTTATTATTATTATTATTTTATTTTATTTTTTTGTCGAATGCCTCTTGGCACTGTGGGGTATGTATGTGGATAAATATTCAGGCTGAAAGGAAATTTTTTAACACTTGTCTTCAACTTGTTTTGGCTTATAGAGAATGATTGTAAGAGTGCTGTTGCATTTTCTGATCTATGACCTTTAAAATTCCTATGGATTTTCTTTGTATTTGCAAGAAAAGAATTGGAAATTTTCTCATTCAGACTAGCTTCCCCCCTACTCCCCCAATAAATATCAGGTTAGAGTTGTACTAGCGTGCACTCTGATTGCTCATTTGGATACTGGGCAGGCTTCAGATCCATTTTTATTTTATTTTATTTTATTTTATTTTACTTTTTGGCCTTTTTGAGACAGGGTATCTTTGTAGCCCCAGCTTTCCTGGAACTCACTATGTAGACCAGGCTGGCCTTGAGCTCACAGAGATCCGCCTGCCTCTGCCTCCGGAGTGCTGGGACTAAATGCCCAGCTTAACTTTATTCTTCTAACATGGTAGAAATTACTTGGTTTTTTTTTCCACTGAGATGAAATGTAGTTCCTGTGTGTCTTGGTTTAGGGATGGCTTCATTTCTAGTTAGTTAGTTGTGTCTTAATTTTTTGGTGGCACCAAATGAACTATGTTATATGGCAGACTTTTAAAATAACTTCTATATATTATATATGAAATGGCTTTTATTGAACAGCTTATCTTCCTCTTTAAAATTATGGAACTATCATGTCAAAATAAAAACAAAAAGGTTAGGAAAAACAGTATGTAAGTAACTTTCTCAAGGCTGAAAACACTAATCAGAATAAACAGCCTTACTTCCACTCTTGAACAGCCGTTTTTCCTCTTCCTTTAGCTTATTCTGCATCAGATGGAGGGTATTTTCAGCTTCCTGTGGAAGAGAAAACCAGATTCAGAATGAGGAGTTTTGATGGATGATTCTATTCTTCATCATTCTGTAAATACGGGAATGTTTGTTACACAGATTCAAAGGAAACTCAAGAGGTCATCTGAACAACCTCTGAAATCCCCAAACCCATGCTCTTTCTCTGTAGCTGACACATCAGCCTATGGAAATGGCCCTGGTAGTGATGCACTGATCCTACACCATCACTCCTCCCACAACCACAAAGCCTCTAAAAGACTGAGTGACACAACAGAAGCCCACATGATGTGGCTGCAAGGGCTGTAGACATAGGAGATGTGTCTAATATGAGCAGGTACAGCTCCCTTGTTCACAGCAGAAGAAAGTAGAGTTGTTTCCAAGTTTCTGCCTGTACTGCCTTCACCATTTCAATCTTGAAAGAAGCTAATGGCCAGGTCAGTAAGGTAAAGAAGAAAATCCTGATCTTAGTTCCTGGTGTGAGGCCAGAAGGAGGTAATATGTCAGCTGTGTTGTCAAATGGAGCCCTGATTAAGCTGGGCATGATGACACCTATCTCAGCTGAAGCAACAGGCCAGTCTGGACAATATAGTGTAAAAACTGGCCCCTAAAACAAAACAACAAACAAAAAACCCAGTCCTGATTGTATGTCAAAAAAAACCTAAACCAAACAAAAACAAAACAAAAAACAAAACCACAAAAAACAAAACAAAAAACCCCAATTAGAATCCCACAAAACCCCCACAGTGAGCATACAGGAAGATGGCTCAGTGGGTACAGTGCTTGTCCTACAACTGTGAAAACCAGGGTTTAGATGCTCACCACTCACAGAAATGCTGGGTAGCACTGCAGCCCTCTTGTAATTCAAGTGCTTGGGGGGGGGGGAGACAGGGGATCCTTGGAACAAGCTGTATAGATAGACCAGTCAAATTGGTGATAGATATGCATCTACACACAATGTGAGCATGCACACCCACATACACTACAAATGAACAAATGCCAAAAAATAATGACAGAAAAAAATGGTTTAGAAATTTTGTTTTGTAATCGGGTATGGTAGTGTACGTCTTTAATCCCAGCACTTGGGAGGCAGAGACAGGTCAATTTCTTGAGTTCGAGGCCAGCCTTATCTACATAGTGAATTCCAGGTCAGCTGGAGCTACAGGGAGACCCTGTCTCAAAAAGATCATAAAAAAATTTTGTTTTGTATTCTAAGCATTAAAAAAAAAAAAAGCGTTACAGGGGCTGGAGAGATAGCTTAGCAGTTAAGAGTGCATACTCCTCTTGCAGAGGACCTGAGTTCAATTCCTGGTATGTTGGGCAGCTTACAGCTACCTGTAACTCCAGCTCCAGGGGATCTGATGCCCTCTGTGGGCATCTGCACTCACATGCACATACCCATACACGGACACATACAGTTAAAACATAACAATAAAATATTTTTGAAAGCACCATGTATCAGGCATGGCTATTTTGAGGAAATAGGCAATAAGCATAGAGAAGCAGAAATCAGTGCAGGAAAAGAAGAGAAATGCTTCTGAAGGGAGGAGAGGTACAGGGCATGTCAGAAGTAATCTGGGGCACCTGCTCACCATTCTAGGGCATATTCTTCAGCAAGTTCTCAATCAAGGAAGGCCCAAGTGATACAATGAAAGTCAAAGTTTATTTTCACTGGTACCTTCTTATTCTCTCCCAGGTACCCAGTACTGTCTAAATGGCCTAAATTCTTCATGGCCCTCAGAACACACCTGCCCATACTCATTCCTCAATGGCACTTCTTTGCTACAAAGGAATGATGGCAGTGAGCTCTTTACCAGCCCTGAATCCACATGGGTGTGTTAGTTCCTCTGTCAGTTCTCCAAGGCACAAACTGATTTACCTAATTCACTAGCCTCAGTTTACAATGGAGTTAGCATACCCTCAATTCCAAAGTCAGCAAGAATAGTGTGAGAAAGGGAGACTGCAGATCAACTTCACTATGAATATACATTTGAAATGACTGTTTTAGGTTAAGAAATGCTCCCAAGGGACAAGAGTGACTGGAAAAATGACTGCAACTTGGTCCAATTTTCTTTGCTCTGAATTCCACATTTATCAACTTCTGAATTATTGGAATCTCTTTCTTACATAGCAGAAAGGAACTTGTAAGACAGCTGGTTAGGTTTGTCCTACATATTGCTCAAAATCAATCAATAAACTGTCATTCTTTATAAAGCAGTCTCCAATGAGCTAGTATGGGGGACTCAATTAACCATGGCTTAGAAATCTTTAAATGAACTAAGAGTTTATCAGCTGTATAATCTGTGGTGAATCTGTGCAAATAAAATATAAATTATGAATTTGAACACCTGAATTCCTGATCTTCCTGCCTCAGCCTCCTGAGCGCTGGTATTACAGGTGTGTGCCACTATCTCCAGCCCCTTCCCATCTTTTCTAAGCATAGATACAGATAGATACTTTATGGAGTTGGTCTCTTATCTTTACATGGGTTCCAGGGATCAAACTCAGGTGGTCAGGCTTGCACAGCAAGTGCTTTACCTGCTGAGCCATCTCACAGGCCACAACTGGCCTGTCTGCACTCCTCACTCTCCAAACCCTAATGATAACACATCAACACTCTGACAACTATGAGTCCAGGCTATGCAGCCATCAAAACACATTACATGAGCAGCTCTCAGACTGGGTATTTTTTTTTTTTTTCATACAATGATATTTACAAACTGACAAGCACTGAGTATAAAGTAATATACCAGAAGGACTGGCCTATACTGATGATCAGGCCACTGACTTACTTCAAACTTCTCTTGTTCCATCCTATGATGATCCTCAAGTTGCTGTTCCAGGTAAGCCAAATTCCGAAATTTCTCTAGATAGACGTCATACTGCTTTTGCAACTCTTCCTCAATCTTCTCGTACTCATCCATAAAGGCTGGCCTAAACAAGCAATGAAAAAAATGGTGAAAGGTTAGTAAATACACAGCAGTTTGAAATTTGTACTCAAGAGTTCCAGATTCTGTCATGGCTTTCTTTCAATTGCATCATGAAATCATTAATTATACAAAGTCCTCACCCTGATGACTGCTTAAAACTACCTTTCTTTTTCTCCTTTCTACCTGCCAAATGAGTACAGCCTTTTAAACCATGTGTTCTTTGTAAAAATCTGAAATTGAAAGAGATGTACCCTAGCTCAGAAAAATGTTATTGAATAGGTTAATGCTGTTGTAATGAAATGCTTCTTTTAATTAAAAAAAAATTGCATCATACTAAAAAAAAAATCTGAAATAACCCTGAAAGCACAATTATGGAACAATTACTTATAATCCTTGTAATGCATTTAATTTGACACACATCCTTCCAGATCTTTTATTGGTTTTTGTTTTTTGGGTTTTTCTTGATTGTTTTTGTTTTATTTTTAGATAGGGTCTCATGTAGCCTGGGCTGGCCTTGAACTCTTGAATTCCTAATCTTCCTGCCTCAATTTCCGGAGTGCTGAGATTACAAGTATGTACCCAGTCCCTTCCAGACTTTCCTAAGCAAGGGGCAGGGGTTTAAAACAGGGTCTCACTATGTAGCCCTGGCTGGCTTGGAACTTGCTATGTAGACCAGGCTGGTCTCAAACTCAGATATCTATCTGCCTGCCTCTGCCTCTGTGTGGTGTGATTAAAGGCATGTGCTACCACACCTGGACTGGAGAGTCCCTTTAGCCTAGGAGTTGGGAGACAGCATGGGTAACATCATTTTAAAAAATAGCACAGAAAGGAAGAGAGGAGAGGTTGTGGGGGTGGGGGGAGACAGAGACAAACAGCGAAAAAGACTGATTTAATCTTTTAAAAAAATATTTGTTATTTTTATTTTATGTGTATTAGTGTATTGCTTGCATGTATGTAAGTGCACTTGTGTTGTGCAATGCTTGCAGAGGTCAGAAGAGGATGTCAGATCCCCTGGAACTGGAGTTAGGACAGTTGTTAGCTGCCATAGGGGTGCTAGGAATTGAACCTGGGTCCTCCGCAAGAGAACCAGTACTCTTAATTGCTGAGCCATCTCTCTAGACCAGATTTAATCTTTTAAAGTACAATAAAGCAACTTTTCTACTAAAAGGATTTGGAGCTCTACTAGAATGAACTGTAAAGCAGACCTGGTTAGTGAGCCCAATGAATCTCAGGGCAGTGATTCAGCAGAAGAGGGTTGGGTGGGGGACCCTTGATGCTCTTGGTACTTGCTGTCTGAAAAGCCTAAAATATATTTAAAGCAAAAGATGGAAGTGTACTCTGTTTCCATCTATTTATGGCAAGATTTTAGGAGGCCAGGCCTGGTATTTACCATCTGGATTTACTTTGCTTCATATTCCAAGAAACCACAAAGGCTTTAAAGAGAGCTTCAGAGTCTAGCTGTTGTAGACATATTGAAAGCAATATAGAGAGTGAGTGCAGCAGGCTGTGTTTAGGGCAGGCAGCAACAGAATTGCGAAACACGGTCTGCTTGCTGAAGCTGCTTTTGCTGCTTAACATCTAATGCCACTCTCTCAGCTTTTGCTCCAACTTTGACAGATACCTGCTACTTACTCAGGTTTTCACGTCTACCTGACATTCTGCAGGGTCTGTAGTCGCTTCTGATTTCTTTCCAGCTCTAACTTTCTCTTTTCAATTTTGGCTTCTAAGTTAGCTTCATCAGAGGCCACATTATTGAGCAGATCTTTAGTCTTCTGAACCTGTGCCTATTTTGAACAGGAAATAATTAGAAAAGATACCAGGGAGGACTGCTACCTGACTCTGAAGACAGAATTTCTCAACACTTTGGTAGAGCAACATCACATTAAACACACAAAAAAGCAAACCAACTGTGGTGGATAGCTTTAGTGTCAACTTGACACACCTGAGGGAGCCTCAGTTGAGGAATTTCCTCTATTGGACTGGCCTGTGGCCATGTCTGAGGGGAATTTTCTTGATGAGTGATGTGGGAGGGCCCAGCCCACTGTGGGTAGTGCCACCCCTGGGCAGGGGGGCCTGTGTTGCATAAGAAAGCAGGCTGAGCAGGGACCAGGGGAACAAGCCAGTAAGCAGCATTCCTCCATGGCCTGTGCGCCAGCTCCTGCCTCCAGGTTCCTGCCCTGAGTTCCTACCTTGGGCTCCCTATAAACTGTGACCCGGGAGATGTAAGATAAACCCTTTCCTCCTCAAGTTGGTAGTGGTCAGAGTATTTTGTCACAGCAATGAAGAAACAAACTAAGACAGTAATTGGTACTGAAAGTGGGGTATTGCTTTGACAGACCTGACCTTCGTGTTTTGGGGAGGACTGTGGAAGTGTCTGGAACTTAGGGCTGGAAAAGCTATTGCGTGCTCAGAGTTTGTTGCTGTGGAGCTTGGAAAAGTTATGCTGAAAGAGTTATAGACAATGGGGGTCTGGCTTGTGAAGCTTCAAAGGGAAGCAGAGACTATCAGGGCTGTTCATGTGAGATTTTTGGATTGAGAATCTGTGGGTTCTGGTCGGCTGGGGCTGAAGAATCAGCTATGATTAAGAAGAGACCAGAACCTGAAGCAAAACTTTTGCTTTACGGGGACAATTGATGCTGGTTAGCTGGGGCTGAAAAATCAATTGTAAGTAACAAGAGACCAGCATCATTGTGGTGGAATCTTCTGGGAGGTATTTCCTCAGGGTCAGCACACAGAGGGGACCTGCACCTCTATTTCAAGCTGGAAGCAGGACTTGGTAATGTGTAAGAGTCTCCTGCATGGTTCTGGTGTTAAAAGTGTGAAGGGGTCACAGAGAGCAGCTGAGTCTTGGCACTCTGAGAGGCCAGGAAAGGCCATAGGTGAAAATGCAGCTTCAGTTGCAGTTAAGACCCCAGGACTGAAGGGGTCATGGAGAGAATCTGAGGCTTTGTACCCAGAGAGGCGCCTACAAGATAAGCTGTGTGTGCTGTGGACAGCAGAGCCAGAGAAGTGAAGCTGCCCAAACCCTTTGGAGGCCAGAAGATCATGAGTGAATCCCAGATGTCCAGCCTCGAACTACTTTGCTGGACTTCGGTTTTGCTTAAGTGTGCCCGATTCTTCCCTTTGAAATAAGACAGAGAGACTATGAACTTTTAAGTGTTTGGATTTTTTTAAGGACTGTGGGGTTTTTAAGGTTGTACTGTCTTATGTTGTGATGTTAACATCATATCTTGGGGACAGAAATTAGAAAGTTATGGTTTAATAGTGATGTTTGTGTGTCAAGTTGACAAGGGGTCAATTGTGCTGGATAGCTTTAGTGTCAATTTGCCAAACCTGGGTTGAGGGAGCCCCAGTTGGGGAATTACCTCTATTGGACTGGCCTGTGGCCATGTCTGAGGGGAATTTTCTTGATGAGTGATGTGGGGGGCCCAGCCCACTGTGGGTGGTACCACCCCTGGGCAGATGGGCCTGTGTTGTTGCATAAGCAGGCTGAGCAGGGGCCAGGGGAACAAGCCAGTAAGCAGCATTCCTCCATGGCCTGTGCTCCAGTTCCTGCCTCCTGGTTCCTGCCCTGAGTTCCTAACTTGGGCTCCCTGATAAACTGACCTGGGAGATATAAGATAAAATAAATCCTTTCCTCCCCAGGTTGGTCATGGTCAGAGTGTTTTGTCACAGCAATGCAGAGACAAACCAGAACACTAACATAAACACCCCCCACCCCAACCTGACTTATTTGACACACTATTTCCAGGGGCAGAAATGAATGGAGGGAATATAGACCCAGAAAAAAAATTATGGTTATTTTCATGAAAAGGGAAATAAACAGAAGTGGAAAGAGTGGGATCCTCAACAAGACAGAGAGGCGCCTAGGACTTCTGTTCAGCCTGCTTGGTTAGGACTGGGTACCAATCACTTTGCACTGTCAATCTGCCTGTAAGCAGTCAACTTGGACTGCTCCCAGGTTACAAAATACCAGCCTAGGGAATGAACAGGCACATGTGCATGTGCACACATTACCCACCCCCCCATATACACATATTAAAAATATGGCTTGGCGGCCTGTAGAGATGGCTCAGTGGTTAAGAACACTGGCTGTTCTTGCAGAAGACCTGGGTTCAAATCCCAGCACCCACATGGCAGCTAACAACTGTCTGTAACGCCAATCCCAGGGGATCCGACAGCCTCTTCTGACCGCCGCCGGCATTTCACAATGTGGGTGCAGGCAATACATGCATACACATAAAAATAATAAAAACATGGCTTGGCTCAGGAGGGAACAAAAGAAACGTGAGCTGCCTCAGTGCTAACCCACTGCCTGCTGGGATTGACAAAGATTCTTCTCTCTCATTGGCAAAAGAAGCTCACCTACAAACTAAAAATAAATAGGGAAACTGCTTTGTTGGGGAAGACAGTGACCAGGCAGCTCCCACAGCAACTCCCACTGCTTCCACAGCCATGCTGGTGAGCTCCAGCTGTGGAAGGGGTCCAGACACAAGGGGACAGAGGCCCTGGGAAGCTGGTACTAAGTAAGAGAGGAAAGGGGATTAGAGACCACTGGTCATAATCATAGACCTCCCTATCGAACAAGAGCAGGTTTGCTTGAAGAGGCATAGTGAGAGCAAATGTGTTTTCACCCTCGTGCTGTAAGAAGCTGCCGTCGGGTGCCTGGTAGTTCAGAGCATCAGTGAGCTCTACTAAGAATCTAGAACCCAACTTGGGTCTATGTGAACCCTGAATGAAGCTCTTGAAGGTAAGATGGGGCTCCCCTCCAGTACTCTGCATGTGTGTTAATATACCAAAAGTTTTCTGGCTATTTACCTGCAGGCTCTGTAAAGTCATGGGATTCACAAAGAAATAACGTTAGAAGATAAGACACTCTCCAGGATTTCTCAGATTCTCAAAGACAGTACATTTATTTTGAAAACAAAAATGGCTATTGCTAGTGAATTTTTGGCTTAATTTTTTTTTTCTTTTTTGGTGGAAGTAAACTAATGATTTCTGTGGAAACTTTTGTTTACTTTTTTTTTTGGTGCTGGGGATCAATCTTATTCATGCCAGACAAGAACTCAATGACTGAGCTGTACCACCAGCCCAGCACACTATTTTAAAAATCGCTAAAACACTAATTAGCTGCAAATGCTTTAAAAATTCCAGTAGAAATGTGAGCTTGTCCCAACAGGAAGGTCGGTTCTTACTCAATAACTCTTTTTAAAAAAATATGTGGGGGCATGGATGGGGGAGGGGGGTCTAAATTTGATTAAAAACTTATGAAATGTACAAAAGTTCAAGAAAAATATAAAAAATATTTTACTTAATATTTTTATATCATGTGTATTGGCTTGTGTGTATGTAAGTGCATCCACGTCATGTAATGCCCATGGAGGTCTGAAGAGGGTGTCGCCCCTGGAAATGGAGTTACAGACAGTTGTTAGCTACCATGTGGGTGCTGGGAACTGAACCTGGGTCCTCTGCAAGAGCAGTCAGTGCTCTCAACCACTGAGCCATCTCTTCAGCCCAATAACTTTTTTAAGATTAAAAAAAAAAACTATGTGTATATGTCCCTAAGTGGGTATGAGCATATGAGTGTTGCTCCCACAGAGGCCAGGAGAGGGCATCAGATCTCCTGGAGTTACAGGCAGTTATGGCTGCTGGGAGCCAACTTGGGTCCTTGGGAAGAGCAGTACACACTCTTAACTGCTGAGCTATCTCTCCAACCCCTTATTTAACAACTCTTGCTAATAACTATTCTCTGACTCAAAGTCAGATTACAACCTAAGAAATTTATCTAATCTTAAAAAGTATTTTAGATTACTTGTTACCCAAGTAAGAAAGATCAATAAACAAACTCTTTGCTTTCTGAAATAACTGGCCTGTACTTCATAACCCCTTCTAAGTAACCATGCTGTTGTTTTGCTTTTGCTTTCAGAATTATCAGACATCATAGATACATATTTTTGTATGTAACAATGAAGAGATCATAGGAGATGTTCACCAAGAAACTAAGTCTGCGTCTTCTGGAGGATTAGTTTTTAACATTCAGTGCTCAAGGCATGTTTGGCCATGTTCACTTGATTCAGTTAGAACACGCTTTAAGAGTATGTCCATTCACAAATTTTTAAATTGAGAAATGGTCATAAATTTAAAGAAACGTTAGAGTATAATACAAATCATTTTTTCCTGAACTAGGTGAGGAGAAGTTGCTGGCCAGATGTCCCATTACCTTAAATACTTTCATGTGTATTTCCTACTACTATAATACAGTCATTACATCAGGACAAGAGCATTACCACATAGCCATCATCTAATCTCAGGCTCACTGCTGTCTCCCCACTTGTCCTAAGGAAGCCCCCCACAGCAGACAGGAGCTACCATGGCACTCTGTTGTCACATCTCTATGGCCTACTTTGGTCTAGAATGTTTGTTTTTCTTGGCTTTCATAACCTAACTGTTTGCAAGTATAGGTCAGTTACTTGATAGAATGCTTCCAGCCTAGCTTTGTTTAATAGATTCAAATTACGCATCTTCAGCAGGAATATCACAGAAAATACTGCACCCTACCAGGTAGTATAGTGTCAAGTTGTGTCATGAACATCACTGTGTCGATGTCATTTCCATCTCCTAATTAAGGGATGACCCTAGACTCCAAATAAGAACTTACTTTTTTCCTCTTTGTAATTAGCAGCCTCCTTAAAACATTTTATTTTTATATGAGAAATGATTGTTTTCTATCATTCAACTATAAAATAAACTACCATATTTTTAAATGTAAACTATCTCTGGTTTGGCCAATGGAAGCCCATCAACTTGGCTCTGAAAGATCCCTTGTATCCTCTGAGTACTTCTGTTCCTCCAGGCACAATAAGAAATTGCATTTCTCCTGATCAGGTCTGGAATGAATCGTTTTTCCTGGGATCCTTGGTTTCTATTAGTGGAGAATGATATTTCAAAGCCAAGATCCAGGTGCTAAGTATCCTCAAAGCTTAGAAGAGTGTGATCTTGGTCTATTAAAATGTGTATCTATAAATAAATGTGCATCTACATGTGTATGCATCTCTATCAAAACTTAATGGGCTGGAGAGATGGCTCAATGGTTAAGAACACTGGCTGTTCTTGCAGAAGACCCGGGTTCGAATCCCAGCACCCACATGGTAGCTAACAACTGTCTGAAACTCCAGTCCCAGGGGATCCGACAGCCCTTCTGACCTCTGTGGGCATTGTACAATACAGGTGCACTTACTTACATGCAGGCAATTAAATGCATACACATAAAATAAATATTAAAAAATTAATGGTGGATGAGTAGTAAATGATGGTAATTATTCTACTTATTACAGGGATGCTTACATTGAGGGCTGGCAAAGTACTTGTCTGGTAGGTACAAGGCCTGCCACTAATCAGAGACAAAAATGAAAACCTGGAAATTATTTAAATGCACAGTGGTAAGGAATTGGCTAAATAAAAATTATATTATTGGATTTAAATTATTAGAACTGGTGGAAATATTTTTTTTGTCTTTTTGAGACAGGGTCTTCTTATAGCCCCAGCTGTCCTAGAACTCACTATGTAGACCAGCTGGCCTCGAACTCACAAAGATCAACCTGCCTCTGCCTCCCAAGTGCTGGGATTAAAGGTGTGCGCCACCACGCCCAGCCCAAAACTAGTGAAATTTTAATAACATGATAAACTGCTTTTACTTATGAGGGGGAAAAGTAGTACTTATAACCTAGGAATCCTGGAATAGCCTCTAAATTTCTCCTAAAATATCACTTGTTACTAAGCCTATCTTATGCTGTCTGGTGTAGACATAAAATCATATTTTTGAGTTCCAAGTGTAAAAACATAAAAGAAATGCAATCTTACCAAAATTTCTTTTATTGCAATTCTCATCACTTTTTCAGTCTCGTTTATTTCCAGAGGTCTGGCAATGGCTTCTGTTCTCAGTTCCTAGGAGAAATGAAATCACTTATACGTTTTGAGAAAAGGAGTTCCCTTTTTAATTTTCATAGTTGCCAATATTTTTTCTTTGACAGCTCAGCTATGTTGCCCTGGCTGAGCATGAACTTGCAAGCCCTCCAAGCTTAGACTCCTAAACTGCTGTGATTACAGATGTATAGCTTCCCGTACACAATGAAATGTGTTTAGAGTAAAACTGTTGGACTGAGCGTACATGCTTTAACAATCATCAGTCTGCATAGGTAGGGATTTAACAGTATATTTCTTCTTATCCTAGCACTTTCCAAACTGCTGTTTGCTGGAAGCCTTGATCCCAGGTTCTCAGCCCAAACTTGCTGACTTATGGTATAAAGACAACCTGGGGGGCTTGAGAGATGGTTCAGCAGTTAAGACCACTGGCTGTTCTTGCAGAAGACCCGGGTTTGAATCCCAGCACCCACATGGCAGCTAACAACTGTCCATAACTCCAGTTCCAGGGGATCTGACAGCCTCTTCTGTCTTCTGCAGGCACTGCATGACACAGGTGCACTTACCTACATGCAGGCAATACACGTATTACATAAAGTAATAATAAAATATTAAAAAAAAAACAAGAACCTGGATATCAGGGGAGCCCAATGTTCAGCAAAATTTAGAAACCATACTTAAACAGCTACTTTTAAAGGAGTGGATGGTGTACACTTTGTGTTTGGTGCTGAACAGCAAGTTAGGTTTCACAGTAACATTAACTGCCTACTGCTTGTGAGTGATTGCCTAGATCACTGGCCATAAACTTTGTTATAATAACCTGGGAGACCTCTGGAAAACTCCTAATGCCCAGATCACATCCTATAACAGTGACATCAGCATGAAGGCCCGGGTTCAGGAGTTTTGTAAATATCTGTGGGTGATTCTGTTGGGCAGTGAGTTCTGGGAACCAGAGGGTGAGAGGGGCCCACAGAGAAGAAAGCAGAGAAAGAGGCACAAGGAAGAGAGTCACAGCCCCATGCCATGTACTTTCCAGTCCTAGAAGCTAAAGGCATTAAAACCAGTGGACCAGCACCCACTAGAATCAGAAAAAGAAGCTAAGACCCCACTTTCCCCCACATTAACTCATTTGATCAGGTAAAAATTTAGTAGAAATTGGAATAATTACAGAAGAAACAAAATTGAATAAAAAAGTCTACAAGAGAAAATTTCCATTCTTTATCTGAACACTACCTACCCTCAGCTCGATCTCCTTGCCCAGTAGATCATACAGAGATGCTCCTTTAGCAGTGATTTCAGAAGCAAGTTGCCTGGCTGCTTTCAAATCTGCAATCTGCAAAATAGCAAATACATAACCATCAGTTTTTACTAGGCATTCAGCAGCCAGTCTGTTAACTTCAATCATTTGCTTCAGGTAGCACATGTCAGCAGCCCCACCTACTGCTGTAGGACAGAGCTCCCAGGACAGTTACTTAGGAAACACTAACCCAAGTACAAAAGGGACTAATTCCAGGACACCTGGTTTCTTAGAAAGCCAACATCAAGCCAAACTGAACCCACAAGGAGTTATATGCAATGGAGTGCTAATGTGTTTCCTGTTTGGATTAGGTCTCTAATACTAGAATGACTAAAGGGGCAATCTGGGGGCTACATTCTACTGCACCATCCCAAGGCCCATGTTTAACTGTCCTCCACTTCTGTCCATCTTCTGCCTTAGAGTTTCTTTAATAGGTTGCTGCACAACTCTGGTAAGTCCACTAAGTACTTACCTCTCCTGGGCTCCCACAGGGGACTACAGCCAGGAAGATGATGCCAACAACTATGATGACAACTTAGCTCTTTTTTCTTAGGGTGTGCATGTCCCTTTCTTCCTTGGATATGCTAAATTTCCCAAAGAGCCCAAACATAAACATATGCATCCTTGTTCCCTCTCCTGAACTAACTCCTATCTTCTCTCTTATTTCCAACCCATCAACAACAGCTCCCCGCTAATTCTCAGCAGATGACTTTTTTCACTCTTCTTTGGTCCTCAGGAACTCTGTGCCCCATTATAGCTTCAGCTTTTCTTCTTTATGCCCAGGGTACCATGTCCAGCTTTTTATCTGCTTTCCTGCCTCACTCACAGCAAATACCTCACTTCTCTGTAGGATTTACCAGACTATTCCCAATTCTTAACAGTGGTATAGGTTACATCAGCTGTCTCCTGCCCCCAAAATACTGCTAACCCCATGACTTTAATCTCACATGCAGGCTGATACCTCCTGACTCCAAACTCCAGTGTCAAACAATGACTCTTGCTAGGTATCTCCACTTGGACATCCAAAGACCCTTATAAACTTAACATGTTCACAGGCAAACTCAAGCATTCTCAGACAAAAATTTTTAGTGCTATGATGTCTAATAGTGTGAACACTCGCCATGCTAGCTGTTTTCATACTTAAATTACTTAAAAATTGCCAGGCATGGCGGCTCATGCCTTTAATCCCAGCACTCAGGAGGCAGAGGCAGGTGGATCTCTGTGAGTTCAAGGACAGCCTGGTCTACATAGTGAGTTCTAGGACAGCTGGGGCTATAGGGAGACCCTGTCTCAAAAAGACCAAAAAAAATTAATATCAGAGTTCATTTCCTTGGTTATGCTAGCTACTTTGGCCAGTTGTCCCAGATAATACAGCTCAGATGCAGACCTTGAGCAGTAGCACATCAAACATGGCTTGAGGATCTTCTTCATGTCATCTTAGCTATCCCAATTCATACCCAATCCCATAAAATCTACCTTTAAAATATGTTTGAACATGGACAAGTGGGTAAAGCATCTCAGAGTAAAGGTGGTTGCCACCAAGCCTGACTACCCGAGTTCAATTTCCAGTACCCACATGGTAGGAAGAGAGAGACAGCTCACACAAGTTGTCCTCTCACTACTACGTGTGCTACAGTATGTGAGCGCTCACAAACATAAACACAGATGGACGGATGGACAGACAGACATACAATTTAAAAATATCTGAGGGCTGGAAAGATGGCTCAGTAGTTAAGAACACTTGTTGTGGGCTGGAGAGATGGCTCAGCAGTTAAGAGCACTGACTGCTCTTGCAGAGGACCCAGATTCAATTCCGAGCACCCACATGGTGGCTAACAACAATCTTTAACACCAGTCCCAGGGGATCTGACACCTTCTTCTGACTTTGCAGGCATTGCAAAACATGGGTGTACTTACACATATGCAGACAGTACATTCATACACATAAAAACAAATAAAAATTAAAAAAAAATTGGGGGGTTGGAGATTTATCTCAGTGGTAGAGTGCTTGCCTAGCAAGCACAAGGCCCTGGGTTTGGTCCTCAGCTCTGAAAAACAAAAAACAAAAAACAAAAAGAACATTTGGGGGCTCAGTGGTTAAAAGCACTGACTGCTCTTGCAGAGGACCCAGGTTCGATTCCCAGCACTGAACCATCCTTAACTCCAGTTCCAGGGGGATTGGAAGCCCTCTTCTGACCTCCGTGGCATTGCACAACACGGGTACACTCACACACATGCAGGCAATACACTCATGCACATAAAATAATAATTTTTTTTAAAAAAGACCATTTGTTGTTCTTCCAGAGGGCGGGGGTTTGATTCCTAGCACCCACATGGCGGCTAACAACAGCCTTTAACTCCAGTTCCAGGGAATCTGACACCTTCTGGCCTCTGTGGGCACTGCATGACAGGGGTGCACCTACCTATATGCACTTAATACACTCATACGCATCAAATAAAAATAACAAGTAAAATATTTAAAAAAAAAATCTGAGCCAGGCTTTTGCCTTTAATCCCAGTACTCAGGATACAAAGGCAGGTGGATATATATGAGATCAAGGCCAGTTTGGTCTACATAGTGAGTTACAGGCCAGCTGGGGCTACAAAGACCTTGTTTCAACAAACAACCCCCCAAAAATCTGAACTTCCACTAAGAGTCCGGCTCCTGGTGTGTGCCTCTCAGGTACAAGCAGGACAATTATGAGGCTTCTTCCGGCAGGTCTCCCAGAGAAGCGCTGCCCTGGTACCAGATTAACATGTGCTCCCAGCTGGGATGACTTCATATTCCAGGATCCTAATCAAGCCTTGGTCTGAGGCTCTCTTCAGTTGCCTATGCTGAAGCCTCTTTATGGCAAGATGAAGCTCTGAAGACACTTTCCCCATCCTAACTTTTTATTCCTGACCCTTCTCCCCATCTCAAGGCCCATGAAACTATCACTGCCTTTTGTTGGAGATTCTGGCTGTAGGCTGATGGGTGCCCATTCTGAAGGCAAAGATGAACCAAACAGCTGCTCCTTCCTCTAATTCTAATTCCTGAAATCCACTCCCCTGCCCCCACTGCCACTCTACTCAAAGTGCCCGCCATCCTTTCCTTTCTAGTCTTGTTGCTTCTACCCTGGTTTCTGCTTTGGACTGATGGGTAACAAGTCCTCTTCTATTGTTGCAGGGGACTGAATCCAGGGCCTTGCTCATGTAAGGCAAGTTATAACACTACACCATCCTCTTAGCCCTCAACTTTTTTGAGGTGGGAGTCTTTCTACATTTCCCAGACACACCTAGCACTCTTGGGTCCAAGTGATCATTCAGCTTCAGTCTCCCAAGTAGCTAGGAATACAGGTACATGTCACCTCACTCAGTTGAAAGTGAGTCTTTTAAAAATATTTTATTTAGGGCTGGAGAGATGGCTCAGAGGTTAAGAACACTGGTTGTTCTTTCAGAAGACCCAGGTTTGAATCCCAGCACCTACATGGCAGCTAACAACTGTCTGTAACTCTAGTTCCAGAGGATCAGACAGCCTCTTCTGTAAGTGCATGACACGGGTGCACTTACCTACATGCAGGCAATACGTGCAAACACAAAATAAAAATAGTTTAAAAAATAAAATATTTTATTATTTTTATTTTATGTTTATGAGTGTATCACCTGCATGTATGTAAGTGTACCCATGTCATGCAGTGCTCATGGAGGTCAGGAGAGGGCATTGGATCACCTGGAACTGGAGTTACAGATAGTTGTTAGCTGCCATGTGGGTGTTGGGAATCAAACCCAGGTCCTCTGCTAGAGCAGTCAGTGCTCTTAACTGCTGAGCCATCTCTCCAGCCCCAAAAGTGAGCCTTTTAACAGGAAAATTAAAGCGTGTACATCTCTGCTGAAAACTCCCATTTTCTTTTTCAGAGTAAAGGTCAAAGGCTTTCAGAAGCCAGAGGATCTGCTACTGCCTCCCCTCCTGTCTCCCATCAGAGGGCTTCCTCTCTTTTTCTCAAATATACAAAGCATATTCTCATCTTGGGACATTCCTCTCACTCCCACCTTCATGGCCTGAACCTTCTCTCAGATCAGTGCTAAGAAGTATCCAAGCCTGGAGGAGTCCCTGATGGTCTAGTTAGGATACTATCCTATCTCCCAGGACACCCCATCTATACAATGCTCTGCTCTTCTCCAGGGCACCTACTGCATCAGAACTTCTACATCTGTATTACTGTCATTCATAGTCTGGGTCTCTTCAGCTAAGCAACAGAAACACAGGATTTCTGTCTTCTTTGTTTGTACTTATATCCTAAGTGCTTGAACACTACCTGGAAAATGAGGCTTTTTTTTTTTTTTTTTTTTTGAGGCAGGGTTCCCCTGTAGCCCCAGCTGGCCTGGAACTCACTATGTAGACCAGGCTGGCCTTGAACTCACAGAGATCCGCCTGCTTCTGCCTCCCAAGTGCTGGGATTAAAGGCGTCTGCCACCACACCCAGCTGAAAATGAGGCTTTTAAACAGTTGAATTTATTCTGACTTTGCCTTTATCTCAACACTGAGGAGAACAAAACTGTTACCACAGACTGATGCACTATCCTTAGTCTGCCAGTAAGAAGCAGTACTGCAAGTCAGACCCAGTCTATTGCCAAGTTTGAAGCGGGGGGGGGGGACCTCACCCCGCAAAACAAAACGAAACGAAACAAAACACATCCCCTAGCCACAAACTTCATCATCTTTACCTTGGAGCCCAGGTCAAACTTGAATTTGCTGATATCTTCTTCTACATTAGAGCCCTCCATCCCTTTGGTCTTCATAGCATTATAAAGGATGGAAGTGATCTTCAGTAGTTCTTTGACTGCATACCCATCTGCTTGGTAAAGCTTCTTAGTATTGAGTTTTATATGTGCTTTTGTGGCCTGTTTTGAGACAGACACATTTTTTTGTTTTTGTTTTTAATTTCAGACAAGAGACAAGGTCTCACTATGTAACCCAGGTTGGTCTAAAACTCACTGTGCAGTCCAGGCTAGATTCAAATTCTCATCTTCCTGTTTCATTGTTTCACTAGAATTACAAGTGTACACTACCATACCCTGCTTCTTCCTTTCCATGTATTATCCACATCCTGTGTAGGTAATTTGAAAATGTCTCTGGCCAACAATTATGATGCAACCCATTAATTAAGAATAAAAGATTTAAGTGTCTCATATATTGATGGAGAGCAACTTGGGAAAAGTCAGAAAAATCACAATTGCACATATCTTTTGACCCAGTAATTCCAATCCTAAGAACTACCCTAGGCATAAACTCACATTTATATAAATAAAAAAGTATATTCATACATTACAGAATTATTTCAAAAAGCAAAAGTTGTAAAGTACCTAAATACCTATGTAAGTAACCTAATTATGGAATACTCACGCAAGCAGTATTAACTCAAATGTAAGAGAGGGAATTCTATATACATTTGGAAAGTTCTCCAAAATATGCCACTAAGTGAAGAAAGTAAGATGCTATACACACCGTGGTGTATACATTATGCTACTGTTTGTGTCAAAGGGGGAAAAATTCTTATTGCTTAAATATGCATAAACCAAACCTGGGATCAACTTAAAATAGTGGGTATCGTGAGTAGAACTTGGCCCAGAGCACACATGGTAGAAAGTCATTTTTCTCTGTATAAGTTCATAATCTAAAGTTTTCTGAGCCATAAAATGTACTACTACTCCAAAATAAATAAAACCCTTGACTTAACAAGTAATGAGGTAAAAACAGAAACAAAAATCAACTTTAGTGAAATGGCTCCACAGAAACCTAGCAACAGAAAGTAAACTCAGCACTCAATTCGAAAGCAATCCTAACTAGGATTCATCCTTTTGTAATTTATTTAATTTGACAGCACCATAAAATAACTATGAACTAACCATGAACTGGGCAATTGCCTTAATGAAGAAAACTCTGTCTTGTTCAGTCTCAATGTCAGAAGGGATGTCCGTCTGCGGTTCATACCTATCGGAGAAAACAAGCGTGAGCCAATCCAAGAGAAAGTCCATTCAAGTTAAGCATGGTAGGACATGCCTGTAATTCTAGCACTTGGGAAGGTCTCCGAGTTCAAGGCCAGCCTGGTCTACAAAGCAAGCTGCAGGCCAGCTAGGCTTATATAGTGAGATGTCATCTCAAAAACAGAACAGTAACACAAAAGGTTGCCAACTCTAATCAAATTAGACCTTAAAATTTTATGTATATGAGTGTTTATGAGTTTACCTGTATATATGTAAAGTGTGCAAAGCCCTTCGAAGAGGGCATTGAATCCCCTAGGACTGGAGTTACAGATAGTTATTAGTAACCATGTGGCTGCTGGGAACTGAACCTAGGTCCTCTGCAAGAGCAACCAGTGTGCTTAACCATCGAGCCATCTCTCCAGCCCCCAAATTAAGACTTTCAACACAATGAAAAATCTACATTTAAAAAAAAAAGATCTTAGTTTTTAAAAATTTTTAATTATGTGTATGTGTGTGAGTCTGTGTATATCTATATGCATGCAAGTGCTGGTGCCCATGAAGGACACAGGAGGATACAGGTGTCAGATCCTCCCAGAGCTGGAGTTATGGGCAGTTGTCAGTTGCCCAGCATGAGTGCTGAAAATCACACTGGAGTGCTCAGGAGCAGCATGCACTCTTAACCACTGAGCCTTCTCTTCAGACCCATCTATGTTATTTCTAATCCAGTGTATTCAGAGTGTGCATTCAATAAGGTCCCTGTCACTTTGTGGTGAGGAGATGAAGAGGAGCTTACACTAGTGCTCAAACAAAACAGTCACCCCTTAATGTTAAATTCTTTAAACTTTGTGATTTTTAGCAGGTTACAACTGAGTCCATTATATGCATTTTGTACTATATTCTTCCTCTTGCACCACAGCAGTATCTGCTTTCCAGTTAGCTAATGAAGAAAATCAAGTGTTCATCCTGACACTTGAATAAAATGCATTTCTAACCTTTTCACAAGCCACAGCAGCACTTCGGAAACAAGTCCAAAATTGGGTGTGCGGAAATTTTCCATAGAAATGTGTCGTGGGTAACCCAAAGCTCTCATCATCTCTGTGAAATCTGTTCAATTCAAAACACAACTCAGTCAGTCCTCATCAAAGGGCAAGTATTTTTGGTTAGTTAATCTTAGTGTTTCTGTTTTCCCTTCTTGTTGATTCTTCCCAAGCTACTAACATTTTAGAGGCTGAATTTATCAACTTGGTAAGAGGGAAAGGAAAAGGAGACAAAAATTCCACCCAAATTCAATGGGGGAAACAGAAGCTCTTTGGTGGAAACGGGGCTTAGTGTTAACTGTGGTTTTAATTTCTTTCTGACATCTGCCTTTTTACTACTTAAAATAAGAACTACTGCTGGGCGTGGTGGTACAGGCTTTTAATCCCAGTACTGGGGAGGCAGAGGTAGGCAGATCTCTGTGAGTTCAAGACCATCTGGGGCTAACAGGGAGACCCTATCTCAAAAAGACCGAAAAAAAAAAAAAAAGATCTACTTAGCTTTAGGGGTTGGAGAGATGGTTCAGCTCAGTGGTTAAGAGCACAGGCTACGCTCAAAGAGGACCGGGTTTCGATTCCCAGCACCCACATGGTAGTTAACAACTGTCTGTAACTCCAGTTCCAGGGGCTCCAACGCCTTCTTCTGACTTCCATGGGCATTGCCCAACAAATATGCTAGCAATACACTTACACATAATTGTTTTTTAAAGAACTACCTAGTTTATAAAATGTCATGAGAAAAATATGTTGGTAGTAGTTATTCATGGGGGAGAGTGCCTATGACAAAGTGAAGTTCAAGAATCTTTTGTATTTTTTCTGGTGAGCATATAAGATCTTCATAACATTAAAATTTAAAGATTAGCTATCTTATATTCAGAGAAATATTGAGTGGTTAACTATATGCAATATTTAGATTTATTGTAAAAACAAATTAAAAATAGTAATTTTAATTTTTTTAGGCTGGGAACACCTAATAAAACTACAATGCTTCAAGAAAGCAGGAGAGAGAGGGACAGAAAAAAAAAAGAAAGCAAGATATAGGAATGGACACAACCAACACACGATGCTGGGATCTCTTTAATGTGCCTCCTAGCCATGCAGTGTCTATCCTCATCTGCATGCTGCTTGAAGACAGATATTAACATGTCCTACTGACAATCCTGTAACCTCCTAGGCACTGTAGACTAGGGTGAACTGCACCAGACAGCAGAAATGAAAGGTTACAGAAAATAAAACGGCAGCCATCTCATCAGCAAGGCTTTGTTTAAATACTTCTTCCAACTAAGGAGTAAGCAGTCAAGTTCTCTATTGTTAAAATGGAGACAGATTCCTATACATTACACAAGTGCACAGCATTTATTTAGGTGACCACTGTGAAATCTTCTTGAACACTCTTCCAGTACAACTCTATTCAACAGTCCCCTAGTAAAGTCTTGGCTGCATCAAAATTGATGTGGGACAACGTTACACTGTATGGAGTACCAACAAATCCCATTAAGTCATGATTCACTCAAGACTGATGCTAAGGGGCTGGATAGGGGGCTTAGTGGTTAAGAGTACTAGCTGTTTTTGCAGAGGACCAGGGTTTAGTTCCCACCACCCACATGGCATCTCCAACAACCATCTGTAATTCCAGTTCCAAGGGATCTGATGCCCTCTTCTGTGGTCACTGCACACACGTGGTGCACTTACATGCGAGCAAGAACACTAACACACATAAAAAAATTAAAGATTGACGTTAACAGCTACATCAATAAAATGTGCATTGTCCTGTATATTTACAATTAATTCATGACTGAAAGGAGTACTTTAACACTGACCGATAATTTGGTGAGAAAAACTGGCCTTAAAACAGCTCCTCAGAGTGCACCAATGTGGCAATCACCTGCTACTCCTCTGCAGGTGGAGCTAGACTGTAGGTCACACATCCCTAAAGTCTTAATCCTTGGTTCCACCCATGTCTAGTTGTGTGACCTGGGGGAAGTATTTCACCCGTCTGTGCTTCAGAGTATTTCAGCCAGGAATACCACTTAACTTGCTGTTAAAATCAGGAACAATAAGACATGGAAACGTAAAATATATACCATGAAAACGCAACTAATACTCAAAACTCATTCTTCCACTTTCCCACCCTCCTGCAAAGGCTTCCAAGCTCCCATCAGCCCCTTCGGAAGGACGCTGGCTTTGGAGTTCAGACAACCTGGATTCAAACTCCAAGGGGATCTCTTTCTACCTGTAACTTGTTCAAATTGCTTTGACCTCTTGGTGCCTGTCTCCTCTAGATAGGAGTACACAGCTCAGTTTGTGACAGATCGTTAAAACAACCGCAACTGCCGCCCACCCAGTCCCTCCTTGGTTTTTTTCTCCAAACTCTGACGCGGAAAGCCCCTATTTCCCACGACCTCTCCCACGCGGCTGCGAAGGCAGCTGTAAGAGAGTGAGGTACTACGGGGGTAAATTATCTGCCGCTCCAGACACATTCCAAGGGTTCTAGCCACAAGCAGCCAGTGACGGATAGAACTTTCCAAACGTGCTGTTAAGTATAGTCAGCCCCCGCCTAGCCTGGGGCTCCGGGGGCCGGCGCGGAGCCGGCCAGCGGCTGAGAAAAGGGGCCCGCTGGGGGAGCCCCGAGTCTTCGGGGAGCGCACAGGGAAGCGGGCCCAGCCTTACTGCGGAGGTCGCGGAAAGACATGATGCCCACGAGTCCACCTGGGCGCTGCCGCAGGCCCCTCAGAGTTCGCAGGCCCAGCGCTCGCCCGTCTCTATAGCAACCCGAGGAGTACTAGGACGGCGAGCGCTTAGGGCCAAAGAAATGCGAAGCGCAGAGGCTGCAGAGCACGCATGAGCAGGGGAAGCCCAACAGGGGGCGTCTTGCACCCTGTGAGCCACACAGCCTCAGAGCTCTTTCCTGCGCACTTTGCGGACTTCTGGCACCGAGTGGGGTGTTCTGAAAGCCTACTGTGTGCTTGACAGCTATTAGGAGCTTCCTGTCCTGCTGCTCAGAGAGGGCACGATCACTGCATGAGCCTCGGTCTCCCTCGCTTCCTCTTTGGTACTTAGTACACCCTCAGAATAGAGACTGAAGATAGGCTAGCCTGGGGTGCGTCGGCATGGATCTCGCGCACGCGCAGCTGGTTCAGTCTTCGTGGCAGGCTGGAAATCGATCCCGAGTCTCGCGCGCCAGAGGTTGTCCTGGCAACTGTAGTGTTCTGAGAAGTAGCCAGCCGGGGAGCCTGGATCCTCATGTATCATCTCAGGGCTCAGCAGGGGGCCCTCCTTGGTGGCTACCAGGATTCGGGGGAAACCCATGACAAAGAAAGGCTGGGGAGGGGAGATGAGCCGGGAAGGGTGGGCGAAGGAAGGCGAAGACCCAAGAGTAGGCGCAGGATCGAAGGGTGAGCTTAGCCAGGATAGTGTGGTATTGGCCAAGTACTAGACGTTTAAGAACTTAGTATGTGGAACTCCGAGCGTCCCAAAACACAGCCACATATCTGTGGCCAATCCAACATAGGTGACAATGTACGTGAATGGAGAAAGAATAGTCTGCAACAAATGGTTTTGGAACAATGAGACATCCAAAGCAAATAAATGAAACTCCATTATCTATATACAGAAATTAACAATGGCTCATAAACCCAAGTGTGAAACCTTGAACTAAATTTTCTAAGATACATGAAAAGCTTTGTGACTGAGTTAAGATTTCATAGTTGTACCATTTTTTCCACCAGCAATACATGAGAATTCATTTCCTCTACATGCTTAGAAAAAGTTGGTATTATCTACACACTGTCCAGTGATTTATGGGAAAATGGACAGCTAAGTGTCACCCAGAAGCACCTTCTCAGGTTTGTACTCCAGATCTTCATTCCCCATTCAGAGGGGACTGAGGCCCCCAAGAGGTCACCCCAGAGAATGCCTTTCCATTATGTTAAATCTGAATCTATTTTATGTGGCTTGCCTACCTGCTTTTCTGGCCCCTTCTCCCGTTTTCCTCCCATCCTGCCCCTGACCTGGTGGTATTCTGTCCCAAATAGTCTTCATTGTGACATCATAAGAACCAGTTGCCCTGGGAGACCTGCAGACTCACCCCCTAGGCAGGGGAGAGCAGACCCTGCTGCACACAAGGCCTGGCCACTCCTGCCCCAACATAGTGGCCTTCCATGGAAGGCTTGGTCTGTGCATTCTCTGAGCTGCACATAAGAGGTGCCTGGCTGCAGGGAGGAGTGGCACGGGAGATTTGAGGTTATGCATGCTTGGGAGAGGGAGTACTCCTCATTAAGGCCATAAGCCTCTAGACAAGTCATGTTCTATTGTGCCCACCATGCTTATATTGGCACCGACATATTCTAGGGTATATGGCACAAAAAGTTTTAAATGCTGAAAGAGACCTCATGTCAAATCCTGGGTTTCTTAGGCCTCCCTGTAGGTTGGGGGAGCAAATAGAAAAGGGCAGGACCTATTTTACAGACAAGCTGAGGCTGGGTAGCCTGGGGATACAGCCCATCATATGAACTGGTACCTGCATTTTTCCCCTCAGATGCTGGGCCTGCTGGCTGCCATCCTCCTGCTCTCTCCCCTGCAGACGCAGTGAACTGGGCTACAGGACGCTCCAGCCACCCTGACATACCACCTAATATCTACGAGGGGGGGCTGGGGGCCCAGCAGCAGCAGTGCCCCAGTGCCCAGGGAAGCAAGCCCAAGAACTTCCGGCTGCGTCACCTCCAGAGCCTGGTTCCCTACCTGCCAGGCCACATGCAGCCTGCTGGCCAGTGTGGGAGCCACTGGCTGGGCAGGATTATGGCTGGGGGAAACCTGCCATGGCCTGAAGGTGCAACCTGGCCACTGGACCTACCACAGGGGACCCTAGGTCCAGGTAACAGCCATTGTTCAACCCTTCTGGAAGCCCAACTGCCCAGGGACAGCCTGGGAAATACAGGTGAGCTCTGTTGAGGCAGGACTAGAGATAGGAAAGACTCAAGGGGACTAGGAATGGACATAGTGACAGGATATACTAAAGAAGTAATGTCATGCAGGGGCCCAAGATCTTGTTGAATGTTTCTATCCTTGTGCATTGGGGCACATATGGACTCACTCAGTTAATAAGCCCAATGGGCTCTCAAGGGGTAATAGTATATGACTGGGCCACAGCTGGAGCCTGATATGATAAAGAGGTGTGAGGCAAAGGAGAGGTTCTGAGACCGAGTTCTGGGTTCCTGTCCTAGCTCTCTATTTTGAGGGCCCTTGGACAACCCTTTCTGTTTCTCCATTTGTAAAATGAAAGGTTCAGAGTAGATGAGGGCATTTCCAGCTTGATTCATGACGTCCTTCCCTCTGTCTTTCTGGTTCTTTCAAGGAAGTAACATTAAGCCTTCAAGTTGTCTTGAAGGGTATAAGGTTCTAGGGACCCCAGGGTGGGCTGTCAGATTCCTTCAGCTTCCTTTTGGGCCCCTCTGAATGATTTCTCTTTCTTCTTTCCTCAGCTTCCAGTTCCAGCATGGACTCAGCCAAGGGTGTCCCCTCCCAGTCTGGTCCCCCTGAGGGCTTGGGGCTCAGACCCAAGAGGTCCTGGAGGGCCCTGGAGGAGACCATGTGTCTCTTGTGCAAGAGAATCCGTTCTGGGGCCTTGGGAGGACATAAGGATCCCAAGTGCCAGGGCTGGGGAAAGAAGGGGAAGGAAGGAGGAAGAGGAGAAAGAAGAGGAGGGGGAGGAGGAGGAGGAAGAGGCCAGGTTTACAGATGAAGGGCTCAGTCCCAGCAGCAGCCCTCCCCATTGAGATGACCCCCACAGCTGCCCAGCACCAGATCTGGGCTGGCCTGGGGAAGGTACAAGGAGGGAGGGAGAAGTCCCATGGGAGGGGCAGAAGAAATGGAAGCATACCTGTGACCTTGCAGTCTGCCCAACTCTGGTCAGCCACTTGTACCTGGGAGGACAGGCCCAATGGAGAATTGGGCTCCCTGAGAGGCCAAGGACTCCTCAGGTCTAATCTCAGTAAAAGCTGAGGCCTGCACTTTTCTTGTCTGTCATTAGGCCAATCCAGTTAGAACAGCCCGGACTCCACTCCAGGGAGCTTACTTGGGGTACATGGGAATTCAGGTACCACATCTGGGAAGGCTTTGTAGACGAGGAGCAGCTGAACACAGTGGATCTAGGGGGTAGGCAGGATCTCAGCAGATCTAAATGCCAGGTTCAGAGTTTCAGGCCCAGGGGCAAAGAGACAAAAGAAGGTGGGTTCAGTTTAGAGAGGGCATGGTGGCCTAGACCTCACACTGTCCCCACTGAGGGCTTGGATGAATTCACCACCCCGTGGGAGACTGTACCAAAGTTCTTCTCCCATTTGGACTAGACTTCAGATACCTGGGTGTCAACCTCAGGTGTTACCATTTGGAGCTGGATCAGTCTTTGTTGTAGGGCCACCCTATGCACTGGAGGATGCTGGGCAGCCTCATTAGATGCCAGCAGTACTCTCCAGGCTGTGACTAAACAGTCTCTAGACATCACCCAGCATCCCCTGGGGATATACACACTTTGGCTGGGAGTACAGCCAAGGCCTCTGTGGAGCCTTCTAAGCTATGATGGAATTGGGGGAATGGGGTCACGTTGAGAGATCCCAGCTCAAAGCTGAAAGCCAGAGCACCAGTGTGAACTGACAGGCAGCTAAGGACCTTTAAGAAACAACCCAATTGCTGCTTGCAGCACTGGAAGCCTTCCCCAGACTCATATCCCTTTGCAGAGCTATGTACAGAACAGTTGCCTACATGGCCACATTGTTCTCAGGAAGACAACAAACTCCCCCCAGACCTTGGCCCTGGTTATGGCCCAAAGCCACAGGGGCAAAACACAGAGTGTGGAGAGCCAGGTACTAGAGACAGGATGAAACTAGTTAAAAGTCTATTTATTTATTTGTAATGAGACAACACACTACAATTTGTTCAACACTAGGCTGGACACTGCAGTGATTAGAGAACAGGAGAAAGGAAAAAGCAGGGCCAGGCCTCTAAGCTGGATCACCAATGCCCAAGGCAGAACCTTCTGCAAGAGTCTTCCCTTGACCACACAGGGCAGAAATGAAAATCACATGATCACTGCTGACTGAAAGGGGAGAGGGCATGGGGCCTCAGCACACAGCCAAAAGAAGTCAGTAGGACATGGGCTAGCAGGACACGGTCAGCTGCTGGCCAGCTCTTAAGGAAGGGAGAAGTTTTTCCTGTGTGAGCCTGCCTGCCTGCCCTATAAAGACTTCCTTTGTGGGGCCACGCAGCCTTGGGGCTGGCTAAAGCACCTAAGAGCCCTAAGCCAGGAGATGCTGAGGGAGGGAAGCACTCAGTAATGAGGCCTGTCCAGAGAGCTGTTCCTCCTCAGGCAGGCATAGCGAGTGGCTGTGAGGATGCCCTGCAAAGGCTCCTGTGACACTGCAGTAATGCTGGGCAGGACTCTGACAGCAAATACTTGGGGCACAGGGGAAAGGAGGCTGGGAGCTTGTGACATATGCTTCAAGCACAATTCAAGGTGCTGATACAGCCTATACCTCAGAGGCCGAAACTGCCCTCTGCTCCCAAAGTCAGGTCCTATGGGTCCACAGCAGCAGAGATGCACAATGTGGAGCTCAGCCTCTTATCTGCATCAGGCCAGGCCTTGAAGCTTCAGTTCTGGAGGACTGGCTGAGGGGGAAACCCAGGAAGCCACATGACGACCTGTCCCAGCTCCCAGTGCAAGTTGGCTGTATAGAGCATTCCAGGAACCAACAGGCAGGGCGATCCCTCAGAATAGCAAGAAAGGGGTAGCAGGAGGCCATTGAGGAACAGGGAATGGGAAGTTCCCATCTAATTGTCTGTGGTAAGGGCTGAGCCCTGGAGCTCTATGCTCTCCAGAAGGGCCAGGCCCACACTTTCTGTCCAACACTCTAGCCTTTCAGGAGGAGTAGGAGCTGCTTCCACCTCCAGGCTTCTTTAGGGTGGTCCTAGACAAGAATCTGCCATTCCCTTTACCATGCCCCTTTATTCTAAGGTTCTTGTGTCTTCAGGGTCAAGGGTATCCACAACACTGTTTCTCCTTCACCGCAGAAATTTCAGTTCATTTTGCAGGAAGGAACTGAAGGAGCAGGAAGCAGAGGAGAGGCCTGGCAAGGGATGCCCCTTCCCAATGAAAGTAGCCACATCTGCCAGGCCATTGGGATGGTGTCAGTGCATGGAGGCAGGACCAGGGCACCAGGTGGAGGGAGAGGTTTCCAGAAGCAGGAACGAAAACTGGGGAGCCTGCAGGGAAGAGAGCAGGGAAGGGTAAAGGCACTGAGGATTCTTACCCATTCCACTATTTGGCCTATGGGCTTCGGCTGAGCTTGGGTACACCAAAACATGAGTGCCCCTGCAAACTCACTGTCCTGTCAGCAGCTACCAGGCTCTCCTGAAGACTTTACACAAATACAAGCACTGGTGGTTCTACACAGGTGTGGATCAAACCCTGGTGTGCGTACACAATGGGGTGGGTTCTGGAGTACCGAAAGCACCTTCTAGTTCTGAAGTCCTCTGGGCCTGGGATACCAGCTCTCAGGCACCAAAACAGTCAAATCCAGGCAAATCTCACCGTCCTCTACAAGTTATCAGGGGAAGCCCACCTGGTATTCTGGAGACTGCCATGTGGTGATACACTAGTGGTAGTACTGGATTTAGAGCTAAGTGGAATTTTTGGAAGCAGACCTGGGACAAAGGTCACTAAATACCTCTTTTAAGGTGAAGCTGAGCAACTAGAGATTCTAGTAAGAGCAACTTGGGTCTTTCTGTACTGTTCCAATGTTTAAATCATGTGAATTCATTATTTAAAAAAGAAAAAAAAATACAGTTCAGGGGTTGGGAAGGTGATACAGTTGGAAAAGTGCTTGCTTTTTCAAAAGTTCAAACGTGAGGACCTGAGTTTGATCACTAGCACCCATGCAAAAAGCCTGGGTTGGCATCATATGCCTGTAATTCCAGCACTGGAGAAGCAGAGATAGGAGGATCCCTGGGGCTTGCTGGTCAGCCAGTCTAGCTAAATTGATGAGCTCCAAGTTCAATGAGAGACCCTGTCTCAAAAAATAACATGGAGGGCCTGGAGAGATGGCTCAGTGGTTAAGAGCACTGGTTGTTCTTGCAGAAGACCCGGTTCGAATTCCAGCACCCACATGGTAGCTAAACATTGGTTCCAGGGGATCTGATGCCCTCTTCTGTCCTTTGTCCATGAGCCCTCCCTTTGTACACTTACACACATGGAGGCATAACACTCAAAAACAAAATAAAAATAAAGAGGGGCTGGAGAGATGGCTCAGCAGTTAAGAGCACTGACTGCTCTTACAGAGGACCCAGGTTCGATTACCAGCACCCACATGGCGGCTATGAACCGTCCTTAACTCCAGTTCCAGGGAAATTCGAACCCCTCTTCTGACCTCCATGGCATTGCACGACACGGGTGCACTCATGTACATACAGGTTTTAAAAATTATTAAAAAAAATAAAATTAAATAAAAAAATAAAAGATGGAGAATAACTGAGGCAGACAGTGTTGACCTCTGGCCTCCACATGCACGTGCACACATGTGTATGTACATATGCATATATACATAAACACTGCGAAGGGGTTTGAGGTATCTTTGGTCCCCTGCTCTCCAAGAACCTTCTGCACCCACTGTGAACTGCTCACAGATACCTGCCTAGGGTCTTCTGTTTTTGTTGCTGCAAGCAGCAGAATCTTCAAGTCCTACCATCTGATCCTACCTGTTGGAGACCAGGTACACATTCTGTTCCTGAGCCAACATAGCACCAGGCCTGCAGCTAGGGTAGGCCAGTGGGCTGGTAGGTGATCACCAGCTTCTTGCAGAAGACAGCAGAGGTCAGACAGGAAGGTGGACTCCACAAGGTGCCAAGAGCAGAGGTCTGGTGGAGGCCGCCCCAATTACATCACATGGTACGGCTATACTCGATGCCACCTTTGGTGGAGATGCTGGACCATGGCAGAAAGCTGCAGAGCAGGCTGTGGGCCTGGCGGTAGATTCTGTGTGGGATCGAGCAGGGACTCAGGTTGGCTAGAGCTGAGCCCAGATGCTGGATGTAGTCTGTGGGCTCCGTCAAGGAGTTTGCCTACTTGCCCCCATCTGCCTTGCTTGCCTGTATGCAATATTCTTGGGACCTGCTCCATGATGCACAGACCTGCATCCACATGGCACAACACACACAACTGGAGTCCAAGGGCCCATTAAATTCTAGAGAGCACCAAAAAGCTTTGCTCATTAAGTGGGCCACCAATTTAGGAAATAATACATAGTGGAGCCTATTGTTCCAAATAGGACATCTGTGGTAAGGTGACACACATTAGAGCAGGCGCCTACAAGTATTTTTGGTTCTCCCTGAGATTTTCAACCGTTAGCACAGCAAGAGGGACACAAGCCCTATCTAAATAAGAAGGGGTTTCAACAGTGCTAACCCCCGGGTGCCTATAGGAGCCTACTTCATGTGAGCCAGGCCTGTGGAGTTTTGGGTTACCTCCTTTCCTTTTTTTTTCCCCCTTGGAAATGAATCAATCCTTGAAAACACATGCACAGGCACATGGCAGTTATCTTCTGGGCTATACCTTATGATGGCTGAGGCATCTCTTGGCTTTCTTCCCTCATGACAAGGACATCATTAGAGGAGGGAGTGGGATGGAGGATACACCTTGGGTCATGTACATAAGGAAGGTCTGAACCCAAGTGTTGTTCTTTCATTATTTGCCTTCTCCTCTGTAGCACAGGCTGCGAGGAGTGCGCATACCTGCTAGGTTCACTGCTAACTCCTAGGACACCTGGAACAGGATGCTTTCCATACTTGAGCGGATGGATGGCTCTTGGGCCAAAAGAGTTAAAGCCCAACCCTCCTGCTGGGCTGAAGTCACTAGGGAACACCAACTTTCCTAGTATGTGCAACCAGATCAGGTGCACCAGACCTGCCCACAGCAAAAGCTGGTCAAGGAACAATGCTGTAAGCTAAGCCACTGTCACTTGAAGGTGGCTAGTTTCAGCTGACTCATTGACTCTGCTATCCCTCTAGTCAGGAAACCACAAGGTCCCTTCCCCTTCCTTCCAGCAGTAAAGGATATAAGATGGTCCAGGGAGGGTGGCCGCCATTGATATAGAGGACATAGGTGAAGCCATCTTTGAGGACCCCTCGGATGGAGTAGTAATAGGGCAGATAGTGATGCTGCCTAAAGTCTCTGTTTTCATAGAAGTTTATTGCTGTATTGTTGGTGGTGAGGACATGCAGGTAGATGGCTTTGCAGTGGTCCTGGGCGGTGGTTGAAATGTGATCTTTTAAACTTTCTAGTAAAAGGGAACCTGGAGAGAAGAGAAGGTTACCCACAGCAGGGCAGTTAGGAAGACATAGACAATTTTTGCAGGAGTCAGAGGGCAATGCTCCCAGATTGGAGACCAGCCTCCAGTCACCTCCCATTGCCAAAGCCCCTAAAAGGTCCCAGCCAGACAGAGCACATGAACTGCATACCACTGTGGGCCATAGAGGTGCCCTGGGTCCACAGTGGAGACTTACCAATCTTACAGACAACAGAAGTATAAACTAGAACCCAGGGAACATGGGAAAAATGGGCCTTGCTATTTCCTGCTGTGTGGTAGAATGGAAAGGGAATTTGATGATTTGGCATCTGATGAATGTTAGCAAGAGCTTTTTCTTTGTTTATGTTTATGTTTTTTATTCTGAACCAAGAACATCTTGCCAATGCACATGGCTATGTCTGGCAGCAGGAAAGGTGAGGGGGGCCTGTTCCCTCCTGAGGCTGTCCTAGGAATGTGCTGATATGTTGATGGGTTTGGGAAGGAGGTTACCATGGAAAGGTGTGGTGATATAAAAAGATGGTGAAGACTAGCAGGGTGGGGAGATATACTGGGAGGACAGGGATCACAGTTCTGACATCAAATTGTGACAAGGAAGAAGAGACTGAGGATCCTTTATGAGATGGACACCTCAGGATTAGAAGTGAATAACCTGGTATATGTGTGTGAGTTTGGAGGGAGGGTTGTTCAAACCATGAGCTTGTGGTCCCTTACCTATGCCGTGTTTTCTGAACTCTTTGACCACTCCCAGACTTAGAATGTATGCAACTTGTGTATCCACAGAGAAGCTGGAGGCTAGAATATCTCCGTCCTAAAAAGAAAGTTACAGATAAAGTCAGAGCAATACTTGGAACACAGAGGCTCAAGGCAGAACCCAGCTGAGTTCCATGTGTCTAATTTAGTAAGAAGAGGAAGAACAAAAATGACAAAGGAGTCATCCCCACTTGCTTGTGGAAACAAGAGGGTTTAGGCACTGCTGGCAAAATGTTGCTACAGTGAGAAAACACACACACACACACACACACACACACACACACAGAAGCTTCACTCAGGGAGAGTGGGGCAACCAAGTGAGGACTACATGGGAACTCAGAACCAGGTAGCATTACAACATGTTAAAAAGACCAGGGTTGGGGGTATATCTTAGTGGTAGAGCATTTGCCTAGCATGTGTAAGGCATAGATTTGATCTCCAGCACTATAAAAGAAAAAAAACTGAAAAAGTGATGTTTGTTTTGAGTGGTCACATATAGGTAGGCACTCAAAATAGTGACAGATTCATCATGAGGTGAGACAGAAGACAAGTGCAAAATTTGATTATATTTATTTATTTGTACATAAACAGGGTTCTGGGGCGGGGGGTGCATGTGCCACATCAATCATATGGAGGTCGGAGGGCAGCTTTGGGAGTAGGTTCTCTCCCTCCTCCATGTGGGTGCCAAGGACTGAACTTAGCTTGTCAGGCTTTACCCACTGAACCATCTTACCACCTCAAGTGCAAATTTTTAAAGGCTTATTAAAAACAAAAAACAAAAACAAAAAAACCCACCTGCTGTCAGGTAACCATGAGGAGCGATTAGGCAGCTATCTGCCCTACTCTGCTGCCCATGCCACACAGGGTGGCACACCAAATTCATTGTACCACAGCAATATAATCCAAGCACATCTCTTGTCCTAGGCACAAATGCCTCATGGTAGAGTCATGACTCTGTCCATGAGGTTCTCATATAATTCCAACCTCCTAAGGCCAACAAGGATCTTCCCTGTATAAGATTTTTTTCCCTCGTGAAAGCACACTGGGTACACTTTCTGTTTCCCATCCACCACGTAGCTCTTGTGCTAGGCATAGGCTGGGTGGGGCCTTGTTTCCCACTCGTTGTCTAGCACTCCACACTACAGTGAACCACAGCAGATTTGGGTCTGCGGGGGTGGGGACGTGGGGTGGTAAACCTCATCATTCTAATTATCAGAAGCCATGGCTAACAATACTAGCTCAGGGTTAAATCTGCCCAACTTTTCAGCAATGCCTGGGTGAGTGCTAGAGTGCAGTTATTCCCCTGCTCCAAAGCTAGGAACAGCAGCAAAAGGGCTCCCTAAAGGGCAAACACAGTTAAGAGATCCTCAGGTACCATACATGGTGAAGGTGGACAATCACTGGGGAAAAGCTCCAGGAAGGGAAATGAGGAAACAAGGTGGGGGGGGGTGAGGAACAGTGTCCCACACAAGAAGAAAGATCTGAAGGATTCTGGCCCTGCTGTATCTTAGCAATGAACAGTGTGAGGCAGTGGCTCAGAAGGAAGCTGGGCTAGAAAAGGTGCCAGGATATAAGTATGTTCAAAAGGAGGCAGCCTTTAGTGGTGGGAGTCCTTAGGAAGGAGAGATGTCCCTTCCTCTTTTACTGCCTCCTACATGCTAGGCAAGCATTCTACCACTGAACTGCCGCCGCTCCAACCCCATTTCTTCCAATTTTAATTCATTTATTTAAATATTTTATTATTTTTATTTTATGTGTATGTGTATTGCCTGCATGTATGTAAGTGCACCCATGTTGTGCAATGCCCACAGAGGACAGAAGAGGGTGTCAGATCCCCTGGAACTAGAGTTACTGACAGTTGTTATCTACCATGTGGGTGCTGGGATTCCACCCCAGGTCTTCTGTAAGAACAGCTAGTGCTCTTCAACTGCTGAACCATCTCTCCCACTTTTATAGAAATAGCCTCAAGCCAAACAAAATTATTTGCCCGTTGGTGGGGCTTCCCTTCCTTGGAGTAAAAACAAGCATAGTAAACACTATTTTGTCACTATGACCAAAATTATCAGAAGACTCCTCACTGAAGTCAACCATTAAGAACACAGATTTATGGTCATGGCCTTATAGCCTGCACTTAAATCAGAGTCTCTCAGATCCCTAAGGGTTGTGTGGTAGGTAGGTTTTCTGAGGGGGGGTCCATGAGTTGTATAAAAAGAAATTATATATTATTTTCATGAACCTCAAACTGAAACCTAGTATTTCCTTCCACAAAGGACAGTAATATTGGCATTTTCTATGATGATGCCAACAGTACAAATCACCAGAATTCTCATGTCACACAGCATTGTACAGATTCCCAAAGTATTACTTCTGCTCATTCCTATTTCAAAATAACTGTCCTTATTAAGTCCACTGGTAGGTCTCCTTTGTTTATTCCATGAATGAAACACATGTATTCACACCCCCACATGAGAAACCAACTGGATATGAGTGACGCTGCTCTGAGCTAGCAGTGTGACTCCATTGCAAGCCAGAAGCCAGTGGTCATAAACATCAAGCCATCGCCTCACAGACATACCTCTTTATGTATTTTGGTCCTACTCTTAATTTCAGCTACTATCATTCCCACGATGGCGCCCCTGTAGGTTGCAGCAAGGGAGAAGAACTTCTTGTTCGATGTGATATCACGATACCATGAGTCAGGGTACCTGAAGAAGAGAGCACACGCAGCTGAGCCACAGGAACACCAGGCTGCCCTGCCTATCACCTACAGTCTCTAGGAGCTTCACAGGTGTCTTGTCAAAGCAGTTACCTGTCTACATGGGCATATTTGATGCCAAAATAATTTTTATCACACCTAAAGTATGAGACGAGGAAAAACCTTCAATGAAAGTCTCCATAGAGCAGTTCCCCAAGGACAGCACAAAGCAGCCTGCTCCTCAGCTGGGTGAGCCGATATTTCAGTGCCCTCAGTGACCCATGAACTCTTGGGTTATCTATTAAGAATTCTGTCAGGGGAGCTGAAGAGATGGTTCAGTGGTTAAGAGCACTTCCTGCTCTTCCAGAGTACCCAAGTCTGGTCTCCAGCACTCACATCAGGTCATTTACAATTCTGCCTGTAACTCCAGTTCTGACAGCCTCTTATGGACTCTGCAGACTGACTCACATGCTTACACACACACACACACACACACACACACACACACACACAAATAAAATCAGAGGCTGGGTGTGGTGGCGCACACCTTTAATCCTAGCACTCGGGAGGCAGAGGCAGGCAGATCTCTGTGAGTTCAAGGCCAGCCTGGTCTACATAGTGAGTTCTAGGACAAGCTGGGGCTACAGGGAGACCTTGTTTCAAACCGACCAAATAATAATAATAATAATAATAATAAAATCAGAAAAAAAAGTCTGTGAGGGCCAGCAGAACAGCACAGCAGGTAGCAGGTAAAGGTGCTTGCTGCCAAGCCTCACAACTTGAGTTCAATCCCCAGGACCTACATGGTAGAAGGAGAGAACTGACTAACAGAAGTTTCCTTTGATCTCCACATGAATGCCATAGCAAATGTGTGCTCATATACACACAAAACAAAGAATCAAATAAATGTAAGAAAAAAAGACTTTGAGACTTTGTGGCACTGAAGACTAGAGGAAGTGATTCAGGGAAGAGCCCAAGTTTATAGGTGACTGGACTAGGGTTTACAAAGCTCCCTTGATAGGGGTGGGGACTTGACTTCCAGAGTAATGTGTAGTCAGACCAAGCTACTCAGTGAGAATAAGGCCAAAACCTCTGAGGGGAGCAGGTAAGGGGACACCTAGCATGAAGGCCCAGTACACAGTCATTAACAAGCAGGTCCAGCTAGGTTTTAGGTATTATGGGCTTTGCTTCTTAAACTTGGAGAAACTAACAGGTTAGACTATATGCCTTTCCTCAGACCAAGAGCTGGAGATGACAAAGCAGAAAGGTATTCTACTTTGGCTACCACCCACTGACAAACTGCTCAAACAAAGCCTGAGGCATTATCCTAGTCCCTCCTTGGTCCCAGGAGTGCCCATCTGTCATGCAGGTAGGATGTGGTACTGCCACCTCACAGTCCAGGGTAATGGTCATCCTTGTACCACTGCAGGAACCCAAGGCCTCAGGCCCATGAAGCTTTTGGCCTATAGGTTAAGTGGTAAGAGAAGCCAGCAGCCAGGCATTTGGAGGGTGCACAGGCCTATGGCCCAGTTGCTGTACACAGCCCTAGATAATCCTTAGCAGGGCCTCCTTTCTACAGTCACTGGCACTTTTATTTCTCAGGATTACTTTTCAGTAGTAGGACTGCTAAATTGAAGAATAGCTTTTATATATATTATATATATATTATTATAAATGATACATACATTTTTATCTTATAAAGCTACTGTTGTTCACATCTTCAGAAAGTTAGCCATTTATATTTCAACAGGGATTCATGGGAAGAGCTTGGTCCCTACTTTTCTGCCACCATGTGGAGTAACACGTACAAGGTTAGGACTGATGAAGTGCCAACGACTAGAAAGACCTTGTTTAGTTTTAAAGATTTTCTCACTATAAAACTTGTCTTACAAGCCACAAAAAAACTTGTCTTGCATATTACATAATAATATAAGAAATAAGACAAGTAAAAACAGGAAATTACAGAAACTAGTAATCCCACCCAAATCAAACTACATGAAAGCATTTAGTTAAGTGGTACTTTAGGGGTTTAGTAAAGGATCACCCACAGAAGGCCAAGAAGCAAACTTCCTCTCAGACCTTCTGGCTTCCAGCCTCTTGCTTCTCATTCTCTCCCATGAGGCAAGCCATGGAACTCAGAATTCCTCTGTTCCAATGTGGACCATAGAAGCTAGAATCCCTTTCCCTCAAAGCTAACCATAAAGGTTAAACCTAAAGTAGCACTCTAATCTCTGGTTTTCTGTGTAGGAGGTAGCCACAAAAAATTTCTGTTTCACTTTGTCTGGCAGTAGATCCAAGACTGCTGTTAATCTCGACTGTCATCTTGGACTGAGAAGTGCCCAGGAGATTAGTAAAGTACACTTCGGGGTGTGTCTGAGATGGTATTGATGGATTCAAAATTTGTACAGACTACTGGGAACTGGTAGAACCATGGAAGGTGGGTCTTGGTTGGAGGAAGTAGATCACTAATGGCTTGCCCTTGGGGGTGATAGCTTGTTCTAGGCCTTCTCTATTACTACTCTGCTCTACTCCTGTTGACTGTGATATGAGCTGCTCCACCATGCCCTCTGTTATGATGGACCAAAACATCTGAAACTGTGAGCAAAATAAACCTTTTCATCCTTAAATTATTTCTGTCAGGTATTTGGTTACAGCAATGGTAAAATATAATCCTTATTCTAGAAGGGTCCCTACTCCATACCCAGAAAGGACTTCCACACAGAGGCCAAGAGCAATCTGAGCAGACTGTGTTGTGTTCTCCACCTTCAATCTCTTAGGAGATAATACATTTTGTCTGATCTTTCTACATGGTTGTCCATGCTTCACTGAACCTAGGTGAAGAAATGGAGAATTCACCACAGGCTCAATCTGAAGGTTTCCATTCACAGAAGACTAAGATCAAAAAAGGTATTATGCTTTTCTGCTGCTAACCTGTCTTTTGTTATAGTAGGCTTGACCCTCATGATGGGTGTGATAGTTTGAATGATAATTTTCCCCATAGGCTCCAAGTATTTGGACATTTTGTCCCCAATTAGTGGTGCTGTTTTGGGAAGTGGTATGGCCATGCTGGAAGAAGCACATCACTGGGGGTGGGCTTACAGAGTTCTTAAGCCTTGTGGGATCTACAGTCATTCTCTTGCTTCCTGTGCCTGCTTGAAGATGTAAAAGCTTAGCATCTGCTCCTACTCCAGCCACCTTTGCTACCATGCCTCCCTGCCATGATGGACTGACAAGAAAGTAGAAGGGAGGGAACGAAGGAACTTTCTCTGTCAAAACAGATACTTTTTTTTTTTATCTAGAACTCACTTTGTAGACCAGGCTGGCCTTGAACTCACAGAGATCTGCCTGCCTAAAGTGTGCACTACCATGCCTGGCTTAAAAACATATATACTTCTTTAAAAGACTTCATTCTTCATTAATAATATTGTTTATTTATTATTTTTATTTTATGTGTATATGTATATTGCCTATGTAGGTAAGTGCACCCATGTTGGGGCAATGCTCACAGAGGACAGAAGAGGCTGTTGGATCCCCTGGAACTGGAGTTAGGACAGTTTTTAGCTGCCATTTTTGGGTGCTGGGATTTGAACCCAGGTCTGCTACAAGAACAACCAGTGTTCTTAACCACTGAGCCATCTTTCCAGCCCCTTGTTTATTTAAGACAGGGTCTCATATAACCCAGGCTGGGTTTACATCCAATACGTAGCTGAGGCTAGCCTTGAACTTCTGACCCTCTTCTGCTTCCACCTCCTGAATGTTAGGATTATAGGTGTATGCCATCACACTCAGTAATACAGCACATATGTAAACAATTCCTTACAATGATACTTGTGTTGCTTGTAAATTTCCTGATTACATACAGCACTGGACATCTTTATAAGTAAAATTCCTCAGTGGATCCTTCTGAGGAAGCTGAGATGTGAAGTACCCCAGACCAGACAGTTGGGCAGCCACTGAACAGTTGGGCAGCTCTAGATGGCAGCTCTGGACCGTTATGGCCACCTCCAGACCCATCATGCTGCTACAGTGTGGCAATGAGGCCCTATACAGTTCTTCCAGTCTCAGCAACTGCAGACTCATGCACTCTCCCCGATCCCAGCTGTGGGATACAACACCCAACACTCACTCGATGGGGAACCAGTCACTGCACAGGTGCTTCACAGTATCTATGTCATTGTGGCAGAGGAGACGCAGGCTGACCTCGCTGAGGGCACTGGAAGGTACCACCTCTGTCATTCACACCTGCAGGGAGAAGAGACCAAGTTACACAGGGGCTTATTCACTGGTTCCTTTTCCACACACTAACCCAGGAGGCAGGTGAGGTGGGAGGCCCCCCAGAGCTTCCCATGATGGGGTAAATACTCTGGATGTCATGGTTGCCTCCACTCTGTAGATAAAGAAGACCTGACCTACCTCTGGTTTATGTCTCTTTCCTCTCCATTTGAGCCACACCCTATCCTTCAGCTTTCCTGCCAAGTGGTCCAAGTTTCCCCTGGCCAGTCTTTTTGTTTTGTTTTTTGAGACAGGGACTCCTCTGCAGTTCCAGCTGGCCTGAAACTTGTTATGTAGACTAGGCTTGTCTTGATCTCACAGAGATCTGCCTGTCTCTGCCTCCCAAGTGCTGGAATTAAAGGCATGCGCCACCATGCTCAACCCTCATATTTTAGCTTCTGACTGTGGTTTCCTCACTTACAGAAGGAACACTGATTCCAACCAGCCTGACTACCAAAGAAAGACATGAGCTGGAGAGCTCCCTATGCCTCAGTCCCCTTTAAGCAGCCTAGTGGGCAGGAGCCAGTGAATGGCTGGATATTGGGGCAAATGGCACGGGCTTCATCACCAGAGGGCAAATCACATGCTACTTCTCCTCCCTGTCCATTAGAGAAACTTTGAGATAATGAGAGTTCAAACCTGATACTAATGAGTATGAGTGTGTGTGTGTGTGTGTGTGTGTGTGTGTGAGAGCGAGAGAGAGAGAGAGAGAGAGAGAGAGAGAGAGAGAGAGAGAATACACACAAAATGACACAGACACATATGGGGGGCACACCCATAGCCTCATGCATGCTAGGCAAGCATTCTACCACTAAACTATGCTCCCAGCCCTTTTTTATTTTGATAAAGGGTCTCAATAGGTTATCCAGACTGGCCTGGAACTTGCTCTGTAGCCTTCCTTGTCTTATTCAAAGGAAGTAAGAAAAGAAAGGACAAAGGGAAGCCAAGTACTAGGCTCTGCCAAGAGGGAAAACAGCTTCCCCTTTTCCTTAAGTTGGAAACAGGTAATTAAAAGGAAAAGGGCTATACATTTATCATATCTTTCTAGGAGAAACTGTGCAGTTCATCCCCTGAGGAAATGGTCCTTTTTTCAGAACAACCAGGTAAAAGTAGAAATGATGACAGAATCAGAGAGTCACTATTGTGGAATCACCAGAGGAAATACCCAAATCCAGCAAGACTCCTCAAAGACTTTGAGGGCCAGGTGCAAGGCACAGAGACAAAGCACTCAGCCACCCAGGACTCAGTGTGCACAAGGAGAAACCACAAGTCATCAGGTCAGTCTCTCTGCTTCCAGCTGTGACCAGTGGGAAATGGCCCAAGCCCTTGGAGATTCTTCCCCAAAATGCTGAGCCTGAACCTATAACCACAGCCTTCAGACCCAACTTCCTGGTTGCAGCAGATGCCAGGCATACAACAATAAGAGAAGTGATATCTAACAAACAAGACGTATAACCTTTCACATTTGGTTTCTCCAAAATATCAATGGTGCTGGGCATGATGGCGCACGTCTTTAAATCTCAGCACTCAGGAGGCAGAAGCTGGCGGATCTCTGTGAGCTCGAGGCCAGCCTGAACTACATAGCAAGTTCCGGGCCAGCTGGGGCTACAGGGAGACCCTGTCTCAAAAAGATACAAAAGTAAGTACAAAGAGACAAAGCAATCTAGAACCAAATGTAATATGTAAACCTCTACCAGGAAGATAAAGTCAAAACATTTTAGGGAAACTTAAACATAGGTTGGCCAGTAGATGGTATTATGAAACAGCTGTTAATTTTCTTAGATGAGGTAAGACAGAGAGGTATCACAGGAGAGTCTTTTTTTTTTTTAATGATATGCATGCTGAAATATTTTGGCATGAAGCATCCAGGTTTCTACTTTAAATGGCTGGGTTTAAAAAAAAGTATACTGGGGCTGAGATGCGTTAGTGAGTAAACTGCTTGCTTTGCAAGCATGAGGACTCAAGTTCAGATCCCCAGCACCCATGTTAAAAAACTAGGTGTGGTGGTATGCCTGTAATCCCAACACTATAAGGTGGAAAGATCACTGCTTTGGAGGAACTCTGGCTAGCCAGGCTAGCCAATTAATGAGCTCTAGGTTTAGTGAGAGACCCTGTTTCAAAAAGCAGGGTGGAAGGTGATAGGAGATACCTGATCTCAATCTCTGGCTTCCAGTTACACCCTCATACACATGCATACAAAAGTATAGTTATCAAACAAAAATGGCAAAATGTCATCAACTATTTAATCTAGTAGCAAGCAGGGCATACTCCAGATAGTGTTCTATAATTGCATATTTCTTTAATTTTTGTTTTATTCATTCATTGAATTCTTTCATTCATTGATTCATTGATTCATTCATTCACAGACAGGATCTCCCTGTAGCTCCAGCTGGCTTGGAACTCACTATGTGGACCAGGCTGGCCTCGATCTCAGAGATCCACCGGCCACTGCCCCCTGAATGCTGGGATTAACACCATCACACCCAATTTACAATATGTACTCTTAACCACTGAGTCATCTCTCCAGTTCCCAGATATTGTTCTATTATGTGAGACTTTTCTATATACCTGAAATTTTTCATAATAAAGGTTAAAATGGGTGATGAACTGTCATTAGTCCCAGTGATACCTACAATGCTAAGAGACCTGACTATTCAACGCTTTCAACTCAACAAACCCAAGTAAGTGACCACAGCAACTCCTCAAGGCTAGTATGCCTTCTTCTTTCTGCTGGAATAGCCTGTAGGACACCAGTACAACAAGGAATAGGATATCCACCCACCTCATCACCCAAGGCAAAGCTCTAGATGCCTTGACAGCTGAGTCTGCTAGTTTCTAAGCCCCCACAGCATGGCCAGCTCTGAACAGGACACTATTACTCAGCTCTCACTAGAGAGGACAAGGATGTCTTCAGGAGATCAGTGAGGTAGGTCAGCAGAGCCAGGATCCGGGTGACCATAACTAGATCTACCTCAAAAGCAAAGAACATGTGGCAGAGGAAGTGAAAGAGACAAAAGCCCAGAGGCTCTACAGTTGCCTGGGGCAGGGACTGGCTACAAATGTGCTGGGATCCCAGGAGAGACTTACTGAGGGGGTGAAATTGTTCTCTATGTTGAGCAAATGTTTTATACATTTAATTATAGTCATCAGGGTCAACCGCAGACACACATTAGTTTAAATTCAGTGAACTATAAGCTTAAATGATGATGTTACATTGTATGTATGCCAAGCTTCAATAATAATTTTTCATTTATTATTATTATTACTGGTCTTTTAGAGACAGGATCTCCCTGTAGTCTCAGTTGGCCTGGAACCTGCTATGTAGACCAGAATGGCCTCAATCTCACAGAGATCTGTCTGTCTCCGCCTCCTGAGTGCTAGGATTAAAGGTGTGTGTCACCACAATTTTATTAACTAGAAAAATTCATTATTGTGTTTGTGTGTACAAGGGTACATGTGTGCCAAAGCACATATGTGGAGGTCAGAAGATAGCTCTATGGAGCCGTTCTCTTTCTATCTTTATGTGGATACCAGGGATCAAATTCAGGATGCCAAGCATACATGGCAAGAACTTCTTTTATGAGTTTCTTTTGTCCTCAATTTTCTTTTTTTTTTTTGAGAGAGAGAGTCTCATTATATAGCCCTTACTGGCCTAGAATTCGCTATGTAGATCAGAATAGCCTCAAGCTCACAGAGATCCACCTGCCTCTGCCTCCTGAGAGTTGGAATTGAAGGTGTGCACCACCACGACCAGCTTATGTTCTGGAATTTACAAGCGCACACACACACACACACACACACAGAGTATCCTTGGGAGAAGACTCTTCCCAGTTTCATTTCCAAGAAAGAAACACTGGGTTTTTTTGTTTTTTTTTTTTTGTTTGTTTTTTTTTGTTTTTTTGAGACAGGGTATAGCCTCAGCTGGCCTGGAACTCGCTATGTATGTGTCATCATGCCTGGCCCACTGACTTTTCGAAGAGACCAAATGTGAAGGGTTACACATTCCTGTTTTGTTTTTCTTCTGAGACAGGTCTCCCTATAGCCCCAGCTGGCCTGTAACTCACTATGTGGACCAGGCTGGCCTTGAACTCACAGAGATCCACCTGCTTCTGCCTCCCAAGTACTGGGATTAAAGGTGTGCTACTCACAGCTTGAATTGCTGAATCCCTATAAAAGTATTTCCATGTTTCAAAGGGCTGGTTCTTCAGAGGCTCTGGTTTAAAAACAGAAACACATGCTGGGCGTGGTGACACATGCCTTTAATCCCAGCACTCGGGAGGCAGAGGCAGGCAGGATCTCTGTGAGTTTGAGGCCAGCCTGGTCTCCATAGGGAATCCAGGCCAGTTGTGGCTACAGGGAGACCCTGAGGCAGAAACACACACACACACACACACACACACACACACACTAATAATAATAATAATAATAATAATAATAAAAATAGAAACACATTAATTTAACCTAGGGAAAAATATGGGACATTACAATGCCCCTCAACTGACCCCAGGCCAAGTGACAGGCAGAAAAGAGCAGGAAGATATATGAAACAGAGAAACTGACAATGAAAGAGAAGAGTGGGCCACACAGAGTGAACAGTTACACATTTCTGACGGGGTGAGGGAGACCCACAAGTGCCTCTGGCCTACTGCCTCCCTTTACAACCAGAGATCTATACTGATCCTGCAATAGAGACAACCTGAGGTAGGGTCATGGCCCTCATGTGGGCTCTGCTGCAACCTGCCCTAGCTCTATGCATCCTATCTCACCCTCCTACAACCCTCTTGGGACAGCATGCTTGGGGGAACAGAGTTAGCTGTGGAGAGGTACCATGGGCCCAGCTGTGGGAAGACAAGGAGCTGGCCTTGTGAAAAGGAATCCTCCTTTCCAGGTCTGATGGCTAGTGAACAGGGGCAACAGAGTCACAGACAACCAGGCAATTTTTGGGTTCATGTTCCTGAAAAGGTGCAGGA